AAGATACTGATGAGAGTGGGATTCGAACCCACGCCTCCGAAGAGACTGGTGCCTTAAACCAGCGCCTTAGACCGCTCGGCCATCTCACCACATATGCGCAAAATGCCAAAACTTTTGAATACTGGCAACTCGCAATGAACAAGATTTAAAATAAAATTATCTTTTAAACTGATGACAGTTGATAGCACTCAGGCGTAAACTGACTGACAATAGCATTTCCATATAGTGTCCTTCAGTGAGCAAAGTATGAGTTAATTTTGAATTTATATATAAAGAACTCATATATTCTTAATAGATAATCTTCCTGTTCACTTTCTCCGTTACTTTCAATCGTTGTTTCGTTCTCTTTCTTCTCTCTTTGCCTCTCTCTCTCTCTCTCCCTCTCTCTCTCTCTCTCTCTCTTGTGTTGTTTCTTAATATCTGTTAAGTGTTTCCTACTGGTCACTCCACAAAACTGCTATGTCTGTGGTGATCGTCTGTTGTCTTTAGTACAACGTGACTAGAAACTTTTCGTGTCGCATCACATTTTTTTGTCTATTTTTGATCTTTTTCCGGAACTTCTGAGCGAATTCTCTCAAATTGTTATAATATTTCTAGCATTTTAACAAATGCGAGTTTGATCAGACAATTTATTTGCGATATGATCAATCCATTCATTATTTTCCGTCAATTCTGTTCAATGATGCTGACAGGACTCTCTAGCGTTTGAATGGTATTTCTTTGAAAATTCTCGGTCATCAATTTGGCAGCCTTGCTTTTCGCAGTATAAATAGCCGCTTTGCCTGCAGTCGCGTTCCCCAACTGAGGCAATCAGGGGGGCACGTGTTAATTGGAGAAGAAGCTGGAACGACTCCACGGATCACTGGACCCTCAGCCTGATAGTACAAATCATCATTTTTATTTGAAAATGCTGATATGTGCAAGTTGTATAAAGCCGTGGAATAGCCCCACTAAAACAATCTGAGCTGTTGATAAAGCTCAAATCTCTATGCTTATACAGTAAAAGATAACGACCTTAATATGATACGTCTAATGCAAACGAACGACATACTATCATAACAGCTGCACATTTTGATGAGAATCAGAAAAAAGTTTTATAATAAGTAAAGATAGTTCTTATCGCAGCTTCTTTTTTTCTTCGAATTACCCTATAAAAGACCGTTTTCACCTCGCTTATAAGGAAAGAACGTTTTGATAATCAATTTGTGTACCGCCTATCTTTCTTCTTCTCATTTTCTTTTATGCTCTTCAAACTTTCGTGCTCTACAATCATTTCTTTAGAATAATATGGAACAATTGAGTGAGATCGAGCAGGTACTTGTCCAGAAATCCAAAGATGTTATGAAGAATGCCTACTGGTATGCACGCGAAAATCATACGTTCCCATTAACTATATCAATGGTTTTTAAGCGCATACAGCAAGTTTCCTGTTGGGGCTGCCATACTGGCAGAGGATGGAAGTGTGATTTTGGGAGGTATGGCTGTGGAGTAAGCTTAAATCCATCTTTAATTAAAGCAAACCACGAAAATGCCTCATATGGAGGAACAATATGTGCAGAACGTTCAGCAATGTGTGCAGCGCTGACTGCAGGACACCGGAAATTCAAATCAATTGCCATTTGTAATAAGAATCTCAGCAATGAAAACCGTAACTTACGAGAGTTTAGGCACAGAACTACCTGATCCCGCATCTCCATGTGGACTATGCCGTCAATTTTTGATTGAGTTTGGAAATTACAAAGTAAAACATAAATATAAAAAGATGTAAGTGAATTCTTTCAAGGTAATTTTGTGCTCTTCAACATCCGACAAACTGATGGTTACTTCGACCAAGGAACTCTTGCCCCACGCCTTCACTCCAGCAAGCTTGGATGAATTCGAAAACATGAAAGCCAACAAGTAATTGCATATTAAATAGAGAATAAAGTTATATTGAGTAACAAGCATTTGGAAGTTCAGAATTTAATTGGTGATTTGTTTGAGAAGAAATTAACAATAGAAAATGCAGGAATCACAAGAAATATGGGGGTAAATGTCGTTCTGAGAAAAGAGGAAGTAATCTTCTGTTAAGATATATATAAATATATATTCATATATAATATATGGACCCGTGATGAAAAAAGGAAAGTATTACATTTCAATGAATTCCATAACTCTACAGAGATCGTTGAAATAAGTAAATGCCGTCAAATCAGTTGAACTGACTTTTAAGCTTGAGCTTGATAACGGATATGGATTTTCTTTCGATTGTTCGATTTTTTGAGATTAAAAACGTTAAACAACTGCTGTCGAATTTTTGGTGGTTTCAGCAGCTTGAACCTGCTCTTGTAAACTTCGCTTACGACGTGGTAAAGACTTGTTCAGCATGGAGCTTCCAGGAAACACGGGGTAGCCTTTCCTTGAGCGGAGGCTGAAAGATAAATTTTAAAACTTTGCCATACGCTTCCCTAATAATAAAAGCAACCGATCATGCAACCAACATATTCAAAATGACGGCCCACGTTGTTGATGTCGCTGTTTACGTAATACTCATGTGCTAATTTTACCTTTTGTTTTCATCTGTTGAACGTTTTGATGTGGGAGGCGTTAAACTTGATGACTGCGTCACAGGACTTTTGGGAACTGTAAGCCCTCTATGAACTGGTCTCGGGCTTGCTTGGCCCATTAAAGTTGGAATTCCTGATTTAGGATGGGGAGCAGGTGTGCCTGGTGTAGACCCCTGCGGTTTTTGCACGTTCGAAGGTCGACTTGTTGGTTTTGAAGGAGTTGGAAGTTTAGAAGTTGGCGAAGCTGGCTTATTTTGGTGAGAGCCATTAAAACTATTGTTAGAAGAAGACAATGATTCAAAACCTGAAATTGAGAATGTATTAAACTCAGAACCAGTGTTGAAGCTTACCGCTGACAATTTTTTTAACAGAATCCTTTCGAACAACAGTTTCTATATTTAATTGTTTGTTGTTATTATCAACTTCTTGTGTAATGTCATCTTCTTCATCTTCTTCAATATCGCGCGAATCATCCGAATCCTCGCGTGATTCACGTCCGCTATCGATGGATTTTGGTTCACTTCTGGGAGATTCTTGACTTTCCATAGAGCTTTCCATAGGATTCTCTTCTATGATGGCGCACGGATGGATTTTTCTATCCCCTATTGAATATTTTCCCTTAAATCAGCAAAAGCGTAAAAGAAGGAAATGAAATAAAATGAATTACTTCTTCAGGTAATTCTGGAATCGCTATAAGCATAGGAACAAATCGTCTCATTCGTATTCTATCCCTTGCCACATCAATCATCCTACGTAAATCATAAAGAAATTGTTCAGCCATCGCGGGAGGGTTTTCCATGTAATCTCGATCAAGATATTCTTTAAAAAATGTTTTGTTTACAATCTAAAACTTCTTAAAAATTCATTACCAGCACTGAAAAATAAGCGTTTTTTCTGTCCCGTGCTTTCGGTTGGAGATAAAGGAGATGAGTAATCAGATGATGTTGGAGACATCTGATCTCGGGGGGAAAACTCATTTGGAGATGATATACCTCCTCGAGACATTTGAGCAGCAGCTACGGCAGCCTATAATACAATAGAATCAATAAACGCTATCCCTAATATAATGAGAAACTACTTTATGAGCTTCTTGTTGTTGCTTGAAATGGTAAAGGAACTGCATTTGAATATCCGAAATGAGCTGTTGTTTTTTCCTTCTCCAACACATTTGCCAGATGAAGAAAGTGCCGAGCAGTGTTAAGATAAGCAATCCGACTAGCAACAGCGTTATTCCAACTTCAGGATTCCTGTTCTCATCGCCATTTTTGTATGGATTGTTACCTATGGATGATAATTGTTTCATCTAATCCCCGTATTAAATTGCTAACCGGATACACCCGCTACGCGGAAAGAGAGACAATGCTCATCAGCCAAAAAGCGCGCACAGGAAACTTTCAATTGAACAACAGCTCCTACCAGATGATTTGCATCATGATCCGATCCACGGAACTATAAGTGTTGATTGTATACCGTTCCTTATCTTGATCTAGTTTATACGTTCATCGATAAACAAGAAACATTCTCCAGTTTAAAGAACTCAGAACTTACCATAATAACCGTTTGTCCACCCGCTGTCAAAAGATTGAACAGATGTTTTTTGCTGGCTGGACGCCATCGATGTGAAATATTCTCATGATAGACTCCAGTGATGGAGCAGTTGACAGCTCCTGTTGGAGACACTTCAATTCCACTTTCTAAATGAAGAAGCTTACTTCCTTAACGTCATATACTATGACTATATTTAGAAATTATTTTCTGTCCTCATACATGTATATATTTCTTCTCTTTTATTCAACCTCAAACGGTATAAATAAGGCAAATGAAAATGAAAATCCAAGGCCATTGGCGGTATCAGATAAAGAAAATGAGACTGTTTGATTTAACCATATAATAGATAGATATATACATGTATACATATCTAACTATATTATATGTTAACTGAATGATATTTTAATGAAATCGCCCCAACCGTTCCATTTCGATGAAAAAAAGAAAATGATAAGTCACGTGAGTCTCACGTGGCTTCATTCAAAATCACGCCATTCACGTAAACAAATGAATCATCCAGATTCTCATATATTCATTTTTAAAAAAAAGATATTTTGTGAAAAACGAACCTTTCCATAAGATTTTTGTTCGCGGAAGAACAACACCGTTATGAGCTGGCAAAGTAACCACTGGAAGGTACTTTTCCGTTATATGAGAAGATTCGAATGGTATATTATGTCTACACTCATCTGAAATGATAGTTGTACTTTAATCTTTGCTTTCCTAATTTGGTTTGCTCTTCATTGTATTATATGGATACTAACGGTTCATTAAGCTTTCTCGTTGACAAAAAAAGGATCATAAAGTTGATGTAAATGTCTTTTTCGTTTTTCTTTTTTTTTTCGTAAATGGAACAACGGCTGCTATGGCCAGTTGACGAAAAGGATGATTGTTTGATGGATGGTCAGGCAGTTCAGAAGAGGTGTAGCATTAGAAGCATCTGTGACGAACAGAAAAAGAAGTAGAGAATTTGCGTAGAAAAGCTGTTCAGATAAATCAGAAATGTTTCTGCGTTCCCCGAATGAAGAAAGAGAGAGAGAGAAGAGAAGATGAAATGATGAAGAGAAATACAGAAATGGGAGGATGTTTTGCTTACCAACTTTTGAACTTTTTTTTTCAGAAAGAATCTTATCATTCTAATCAAAAAATGAAAGTCCATATAAGGACTTATTCTTTGAACTATAAATATGTGAAAACCAGTTGAAATCAAAATTCAATTTTATTAATTTGAAGATAATTTGCAAAAAATTAAAATAATATTATGAATGAACTTAAAGTTCATTGATTATCACGATATCTCTCACAAAGTCTCATGAGTTCCGAAAATACAAATTTCATAATCGGCAACGTTTTTCAAAACGTTTTTCTTTTTTTATTTCTTTTCGAAATTCCATTCCTTCACACGCTTAGCATTCGTAAATACATCAGAATCTCTTTTACACAAGTTTAATCATCACGAAGGTCAGTAGGCGAAAACAACATTGAGAGAATCGCCAGGAGGAAGTTTTTGTGTTTCAGATAATATCATTTACAAATAAATACATCCATGTACTGCATTCACACTCAGTTCACGGGTTCAGTTCATAACTTCGATTTTTTTCATTCTTAGCTCATATTGATTATATGTATTTTCGTTTACGTGAAGATGTGATGGATGGAGAAGTTCAGGATGTGATAAAGTCGTTACGAACATGAACAACAAAATTATTAAACGTGATAAAATAGAAAAAGAGAGAGAGCTAGAGAGAGCCAAAATCCGTGAGAGAGAAAAAGAACGTAAGAGAGGGGAAGGAAGATAGAGAGAGAGAGAGAGATTTTAGATAGAAGAAAGAATCAACGGATTACAATGGAGAAGAGGAAAGGAGAATGGATAATAGAATCAAGCAGAAGCATAAACTTATTTTTCAAAAAAAAACTTACCAAGTTTGTTAACACAATAGCCAGCAGTATTTAAATAAACCGGTTGATCTTCCGGACAAACACAGCTACAGGATTCCGAAATAGAAGTGTTTAAGCCTGTATTACTCAGTCCAGAAGCATCAATGGCATGAAATAATTCATCACATGATGGAGGACATACAGTTGGAAGTAGAGTATCAGGAACAGATGATTGTCGAATAACAGAAGAAAGAATAGCCTCAATAGGGGCACTTAGAGTTGTATTAATGGTAAAAAATAAAAAATATATTATTAAATGATCAATTCTCTTCATAGTTGGACAAATGATATGTGATTATGGATAGTTATAGTACTTCAGGAACAATTGATTTCCTGGTATCGTCCCGATTTTGTAGTAAATATAATTTAAAATATAGTAAGCTATGTATGATTGATGAACAGAAGAAAACTGATGCTACATGGGCAAGTTAAAGGTAAGATATTAGGAAGATATAAGTGATTGTAGATTGTCTTGCTGGTTTTGGAAATGGCCGGGCTAGTCGCTGACTTGCTGATTGTTAAAGGGGGGGGGTAGTTGGAGAGGGGTTGAAGGAAGAAGAACAGTCCAGGAAGATAGTTAAGGAAAAAAGAAGATAGACGAGAGAAACAACTGAGAAACGGCTGAAACAGGTGAGAGTACAGACTCTAAGAGTTACGATAGATGGTTAATAAGAAGGTGAAAAGGAGAGAAAAAAGATCTAAAGACTGTATGTATTGATAGAGGAGGAGTTAGGTGATGGAGATCATGTGTAGAAGATATGAACTGAATGAGAGAGAGTAGGAAATAGAAGGAGAGATAGAGAGAGAAGCTCCTTCTTCAATGGTTTTCTGTGTCTTTCCGACATGAACGACAACGATGACGATGAAACTACGAGTCAGTCTTGACTATACAAGGCGATAACGTCCGATTGGCTACTTTGATAACGGATGAACCAACTAAACGAGGACTGAGCGAACCCCCTGCAAGGACAAAATGATCTTCAGGATGTTTGTGAGTGAAAAATAGGAGAAAGATGGATAGAAGGAACATCTCCAAATTAAAACTATGTCTCAACGAAAAGAAATTAATTTGGGGAATCGAGAATTCATTCAAATTTTCCGGCGGTTGACTTCTTAATTTTTATTTTTCATATATGTGTACGAATGAGCGGTTGTTCTCCTCTTAAGATTATTTTCAGACAAACAACAAGGAACTTTATTGTAAATCTACCAAAAAAAGATATCTGTATCGAAGATAATTAAATAGTTGGCTGTTTTCTTAGGTATAGCGTCTAAGTAAGTAGTTTGAGATATTTTGATTTCATTGAATTGTTTTTACTTCAACGAATATCGTTTTGGTTCTTCGTCCGATTTACTGTTGAACGATCTCTGTAAGGATGAATATTATGTAAATGCCATTTAATCAGGATAACAATACCTTATTGAAACTTGGCTCAGCTATCATAGATGACCAAAGACGAGAGTTAAAGCCTGGACGGAAGTTTCCACGACCGGAAACTAGAGCGCCACCTGATGGTGATAAATGACTCCATTTAGCTGCCCGAATAAAGTACTCCGCTGAAATGATATAAAAATAATTATTTTTATACAAAACACAACAGATATTTGTTATGTTTTGAAGGAAGATGAGCTATAAAGCCGTTTACGACAGTCGGAATTGTCGTTTATTTTTGTGGGTAGTTTTCAAGAGTAAAACAACATTCTTTACGTTGTAAGAAGAAGCTTGATCATACACTGATTTAATATAGTAATAATTCATAATAACTTACGATGAGCTGATGATGTGCTGGTAAGAATGGTAGCGCAAAAGATAAAGACAGTTGCGAGACGTACAAGTGAGCTCATTTTACGATGAAAAACAGAATATGGAGAAGAAGTAAGCTGCAAATTTAATTTATATTTCTTTGAAAGAAAAATGAAAAGAAAAGAGAAGTTTAAAGAAAATATTCAAATTGGACGCCATTCATAATTCAATGGAAAAGCAAATTTTAATGAAGGGCAGAAGAAAAGGAATTTCAAGAAAAATCAAAGAAGTCTTCCGACGGAACCGAAGCGTAGGGAAGAGGAAGAAGATGGTGGATGAGGAAGGAATTATGAAAAATGACGTGATGAGCCAATCCAAATGTAAGAGAATCAATTTAAAGAAGGCAGAAAATAATTTTTTTTTTCTCTTTTATCGTACGAAGCCTGATCATTAAAGCTACTGAAATAAAGGAATATGGCTTTATGGGCTGGTCACTATATGCAAATGATTTTTTTGTTTTAAAAAAATATGTTAGTAAACAGGAGAAAGAGCCATGAACATACGAACATCGTTTTGCCCTGTTCTCACGAAACATTGTGAATTCCAGAAAATCAAAATGCTTAAACATATTAAAAGAAAAACATAAAGGGTATATTGATATGGAATGGGTGAGGAGAGAAGTTGATTCTTGATATACGCTGCTGTACTCATATTCATGATATACGGAAATGATGGAGCTGAAGAGCTTTTCGCTCCTATTTAAATGAATTGAAAGAAATTGGTTAAAAGTTTCAAAAAATGCGAAGGCGTGTGAACAATTTAAAATAAAAACAACCTCTATTGCGTCATTTAAAAATATAAAATAACTTTCACGTGTGTTTGACGTGCAAAATTAGGATAACTGACAAACTGAAAGGACGAGAATGAGCTTAAGCTTTATATGAGAAACAGTAAAAAAGCTTTTTCCGAAATGAAACAGCTAATCCTGCTGCTCGTTAATTTTCTATCATCTTCATAGCTTACAATGAAACTTGTTCCGATGATATCAATCTACTGATGAGTTCTCTTCTGAAGTGTATGATGAATAGCTAAAGCAGTTTTAAGAAAAAAATGATTGGTTTCACACATAATTACATATTATAGTTAATGACGTTATGTTTTTGACAAAAAAATAAAAGAAAAATGAAATTGATACTTCTGATTTCCATGATTGCATTAATCGAACTTTCCAAAAATGAACCAAAAAAATAAAATATAAGCTCATAATTATGTCATGAGATAAACATGAGTAGGAGGGTACAAGAGGTAAATGAAGGTTTTTCGAGATCACATGAATACGTTTGAGAGGGAAAATGAACAAATCGTAAGAGGTATGGATGTCGATTCCGAGAGCAATTCCGTTGAATGATGTAATGTGCATGGGATTCAGAATCAGTTCAACATTGAAGAAAGCATGCTCTTTGCTGTGAACGTTATCTTCTGTAATGAAAGCTGATTAAACAGTCTTTCAGATGAGAAAGATGTAAGATTGAAGAATAAGGGGTGGAATATAGAATGATCGAGTTGTAGTTTGGTAAGACTAAGACAGAGATAGAAATGAATTTATAATATCTCTTTGGCAAATGTCCAAATTTAGAGGAAAAAATGATTTTTTCCTTCTAAACGCTGTCGTTGACTTCTATGAAATCTTGGTTACAAAAAAAACAAGAAAAACATAGAATTAATAGAAGGAAAGTGATTAATATGGTTGAAAATAAGATTTTAAAACAAAAAAACAGCCGCTTCGTATGTCTGCTCATTAGAGAAATGAATTTATAAAAACACGTGAAATTCACGTAAATGTGAAAGGAGAGATTTGAATTTACGAGTGCGGGAATGAAGTGGGTGTAGAAATCTGAAGTAAAGTTTCTCTCCTTCTTCCGCATATGGTCACTGTTTGAGAAACATTATTTTCCCAAAGGCTCTATGAAATGAAGAGGGGGATATACTTTATATATTCAAATAGATGACAGCAGTAAAGCGTGGTTGAAAGACGAGTAGAAGAATCTACGAAAAAAGACTTTCCCATCCTGGATTTCAGCAGAAGTAAAGATGCAGATCTTTCCATTTCAATTTTCGAAAATATTAAATGCTCTCATTGAAAGGGAGCGTGGACAACAAGGCGATATGGGAAATACAAGTCTATTAAACGTCACCTTTAACTATATCCATATAGTTTACATTGTTTCGATAACTAAAAATTTAATTTAATATTCTGCAAATGTCTTGGCTTGAACTTTATTTTCAACGAAAAACAATGGGTCGAATCATTCTTCTCATCGGGACAAAAGAATAAAAATTTTTAATTTTCAAGGCGAAAAGATCTGAAGCTGCTTCATCCTTGACCTCACAAGATGATGACGAAGAAGCTCATATTCTGAATATGAAATTTTAAATTTCCATTCTGTATCAAATCATCGGATGTACTTGAAGGTCAATCATCATTAACAAATGAAAGATGTGGGTGGTAAGTAGAGTTTTACAATTAAAAAAAGAAATTTTCATTTCCATACTATGACAACAGTCAGGCCTTTCATGGCTTTTCATCAAATTACAATCATGGTATCGTTCAAAGGTAATCCTTGTTTGTACAAATAGATCAATTTCTGTAGTTGCTTCTGCTCATCGACACGCTCGAAAACAGTTGGCGCTGAGAATAAAATTCCTTAAAAGAAAAAAAATTATTTTTTGCTGTTGTTCTGCCAGAAGACGAGCAGATTCTCGTCCTCAACGAATTCGTATAGTTTCAACTCTCTCTTTTACAATTTCAGGGGTACTTTCATAGAAATATTCCAGTCACATCCCTTATTCTGTCATGTATTTTGCGTCGAAATGAGCGATAAATGGGAATTTTGTTGGATTTTTCTCTTCTCCATCCATTTGTTTTGCTCACTGAGTAATGTTCGAATTGAAGAAGCATATTACCTATAGTACCACCTAATGTGATTCCGAAGAAGCCATAGAGTAGTAAACGATCGACAACCATTGCGACATACTTCCAATCATCTCGGTACTACAAAATCTCGTTATATTATGTATTTCAGTGAGTGAGAACCTGCTTCGTAATCTCAGCTTCTTTCATATTCTCTGTGACGTAATCGATGGCATCGATTGCTCGTTGAGCTTCTGGAGACAAATCTTCACACGCATCGTGTTGAATTCGAATTAATGGCGCTCCATCTCTGCGAATTCAGAAATGAGAATGAAAAAAATGAAAAAGAGAAGTAAGTTGGAAGCGGAAAGCTCACTTATGTTCTTTTGCGCGACAATGTGGATGATGGGTATGAGTAGCGATTTCTGGATTTGGCTCTTTGATTTTCTTCTTGTGTAAGACATTGGCTCTGTGAGGTCTTTGCATGCACATGAGTAATGGTAAGACCTAAAACGTGATTGTTCAATTATTAAGATGAAAGATGGGAGGAAACTTACATCTAAGAAGACTGTCCTCACCCATGGGGGCAGACGATGAGTTATCGGGGAGCGGAAGTAGATGTTACATATGACAACAGTTACAACAATTGTTATAATATTCAAAACGAATGTTAATAATAGATATTTGGCCACTAATGGAATTGAGGATGATGTTGGGGGTAGAATTTTTGAGACAAGAAGAAGAAACACAACAATTGATAGAAGAACGTTCATCGTCAGACCCATTTTTTCTCCAGAAGCTGTTGGAAGATAAAAGACAGTCACATTCAAGAATGCCATTAAAACAGTCGGGAGAATCAGAACAACGGTATAGAACAAAGTTTTCCGCCTTTCAAAGATAATCAATTACATTGTTTTATCAGATTAGGTTACCTTATTCGAACTTGAAACTCTATTCGACTTCTATCTTCTGTTAGCACTGCTGGCGCATCCATCATGTCCCAAATACTGCTGGTTGCATACTCCGAGAAATCAACTCGGTCTGCATGGAGAAAGTCGAGCTTTATTTCATCTCGATTATACTGTAACAGTTCAATTAATTATGATAGGTACCCAAAGAAAGAAGAAGAACTCACCGTCCAACTTCCAAATGTTAAACTGCATCTTTGGTCATCGAAAGGGAAAAACTCAACATCTTGAAAAAAAGGGCAAAGGAATTCAAGAAAAATGATGAGAGTTACCGATTATACAAGAACTCTTGTAAATAGCTGGTGGAACCCACAAAACATCTCCTGTATGATGAATTAAAGCATTGCACATAAAAGACACTTCATAGTTTCCATCGGCACTGCAAAGTTTCTTTTAGCTAGGGCCGAGAAGGAGAGGGTGGAGAGGGATTACTTATTGAAAAGAACAATATCGGGTAGCCAGATCTTATCGGGAGCTACTCGTATTTGAGTAATTCCATCGTAATCTTTTGGTTCCCATTGCATTTGGAAGTCATGCCATTTCTAAAAAATTATAATATGTAACTAAATAAGTTCAAAAGATAGAGAGAGAACCAGAGTAAGCCAGACGTTTGTGTGCATAACTTGTTCCTTCTCATCCTGAAAAGAAAAATGAAAGTTAAATGGAAGTATAAATGAAAACTGACCACATTTATTAAAAGAACTAATTGCATAGCAATTTTAACAATCATAGGTAATTCGTTTTTATTCCGAACAGGTTGAACGAGGGAATTATAACCTCGGAATAAATCAACCATCAGACGGTCTTCCGCGTCCGTCGCCACAGACGTTGAATTAGCCATTGAAACTTAATTAATGAAGATGTTATATGAATAAGAAGCTTGTTGGGATTCAGAAAAGAGGCCAAATAGCTTTTTCTTTTTTGGGCTGTTTTCCACGTGAACGCACATACTAATCCCCTTTTTGGATGGTTCTCCTGAGAAGGCATATTTGGACGCAAAAAAGGCATTTTCGTCTTGCTTTTTCTATTTACATTATCTTAAAACAAAAATATGATGTTCTCAATCTGTTTTTCTAAGAAATTTTGTTCGAAAGAAAGTTGTGTGAATTGTAATTGTGACCACTCAATGTCGGCTTTCCGAATTTTGAAGAAGAAATCTGATTTGAGAACAGCATATTCTTTCAGCTCAGTCAATGTACATAAACTTGGCCTCAAAGCGTCCTCAAGCAACAAACTTATACCTAATTAAGATAATTAGGTCTTGTACTGACAAATGGATCAGAATGAAGGTTTGGGCTTAAAGTGAGAAAACAGAGATTTTCATTGACGCTTTGTGACTAATGTATTCTAAGCTAATAGGGAGAGGGTTAGAGAGAGAGAGTTTCCATTTGAAAATCGTCAATGTTTCTTATCCAAAAAAAGAGAAAAACTGAGTAAAAGAGGTCAGAGTCTTTTTTTTTCTTTTCATAAAATGACAAAAGATGACAAAAGTAGTTGAGAAAGCTGACAAAATTTGCATGGAGGCCCTTCAAGCTCAATCACTCCACTGGGTAAAAGAGAGTGATGTGTTTCTACGCATCAAACGAATAGAAAATGAATAGTCTCACCTGAACATAATAAAACTAATGAAAGAGTAACGGTTGATATAATCATAATGTTTAGAAAATGTAGAAATACATCAGAGTATTGAGATCGGTTATGGAAATGCTTTTAGTAAAGCTTAAATCAACTCCAATAGCTCAAGGTAAGAAATCAATAAATCTTAGACGATTGGAACAATTGGTTGAATTTTCTTCTCCGGAGTAGACGGGTGAACAGCTCAGAAGAGTTGAAGAAAGAGGGAAGGAAGAGAGAAAAAGAAAGACAGAAGGAGATTTAGAGTATTGCCAGCCGTGCTTATAACAGATAGAAGTCATAAGAGAGAGAAGGAGAGAAAGAGAGAAAGGAAAAGCCAGAAGAAGTACTAAGGATAGAGTAAGAGGGATAGAATGCAATTACCAAACAAGAAAAAACTATAAAAAGTTAAATTTCAATAAAGTATTTTTGTCATTTTCTCCTATTTGTGAACTATGTGAGAGGAGAATGGAAACTTGTTATTGCAAGATGCATACTATATGGGTGTGTATCCATTTACATAAAGATCATTTTTCAATTTGACCATCAGAACAGATTTTTCAATTGTCTACTTTTATATTCTTCAAATATGTTGCCTGTTTTTAAATGAGGAGAATAAGGTGAAGTCTCTCTTCGTTTGTCACGTCTATGCTGCTGCAGATGATATTTCGAACAAGTTTTTAAAACTTTTTATGCTTAAAAATCTACGACTGATGGCTGATGACGTCAAATTCATTAAATGATTCTATTTTTTTAAATTTCATTGATATGATCGTCCGTTTGACTTGATAAAACGCCTTACAAATGCAACGAAAACCGTAGATTCATCATCAAATTCAGAATTGCTCAACGTCTTCCGCATTCGCTTATTACTTTTCTTTTTTTCGTATCATCGTTCAAAATATTTGGGTATGATAGGGGTTTTTTCAATGAAATCTCTTTGACATGATTGAAATTGACTGCAACGATCGTTGACGTCGTTCGCGTCAGAATACATGTAGCACGATTTCTATTTTTTTTCTCTTTCTTCCTTCTTCTTCTTCTTAATCATCAACTGAATGATTGGGATATATCAAGGTTTTCTCTATAACTTGTTTATACCATTTATATTCTCATTCGGTTTTTAGCATACTTCACGTCTTAATGCCACGTCAAGCCCCACGTTACACGTGAGAGTTATCTTAGTGTGTTCATTTGAAGTGAGGTAACAGGTGGAACGGTTGAATCATTACATCAATTTTAAAATAATTTTGTTGTTTTTTCGTTAACTGTTTTCTTCAAAAAAAAAACTTTTTTTTTCTATTTTTTTTGTTTTCAAAATCTCCACCCACTATGAAGACCTTCCTATCCACTTTTGCCTTATGAAGTATTGTCTTTCCATTTTCTTTCTGTTTTTTTCTTTCGTCATTCTACCTGTTTTCGCTTCATTTCAATCGTTCCAAAAAGAGAAATTGTCAGATAACGCTTTGCTATTTCGTTAATTAAAGGAACACATCGTTTTTCTCAAACCGTAAATTAACAGTTGACAATAGTTTTCATTCGGACATAGATTGTCCGACACAAAACCACAGCTAATGACAATCTCAATGAACACTCTTTACACTTTTTCTGAAGCCGCTATATCAAGTTCTTCCTAGTTCTTATTGGGATTCCTATTTTTTCTTTCTCATTTTTTCATAATTTCCATTCGACAGATGATTGCTTGCGTCTCATCTGAACATCCTTCTGTCAGTTCAACTCTATTGCTCAGTTTGACTATGAATCGCACACTCAATGCTTAACGCATCTTCATTTCTGCTTACATTCCGTTCTTCATGTCTTCCAATGTTGTTTGACGCTTCTCATAATGATCCACGAAGTATGATGATACTTATGATACTTCAATATTTTTTTATGAAAATTACCTGAAAATTAGAATTTTTTCGAAGTAAATGGAATGAAAAACATTTTCTGTTATCTTAACATATGGCTGCGACGAATTTGTTCTGTAAAGGTCATGTTTATTCTTATGTTTAACACAAATGAAACGAGAAAAAATGTTTCTTGGAGGACATATAGAATGACCAGTCAGCATTAGTTAATCTACGAAATATTTTACATTTTTTTCTTCTTTTTTTTTCTGACAACATTGTATTTGAAATAGAAAGCAAATTACCGACACATCAAAATGAGAAATGACAGCAGGAGAGGACAATAAGAGGGATTCCTCAAGAGAGAAGTAAAGAGGGAGGTAGAGGAAATTATACAGAACAGAGAGAGTGGTAGAGAATGTACAATGAATATAGAGGAACCGTGAGTTTCGTCGCCATTTCATGGGCGTCAAGACTTACAGAATGTCATTTGCCATCTATTTCTTATTGTCCCTACTCATGGATAGTGTTTTTCCTTTTCAATCCGAAGACAACGGTAGATCTTTATCTCTTAACCTTCATACCTCTCGTCAAACGTGATGAACAAGCTGCGCTGCCCCTGACTTTGTTCCATTAAGTTCATTCTCTTGATGTCTCTCTCTCACGATGTCTCATTCTCTCTCACTAAGTGTTCATTACTGAAGTTTTCCCTCTTTTTCAATATCAACATTCTTGATCAACTCTGGCATGACCAATACGCTTCAGAACTTTTTATATTTCTCCGATTTACTTTATCAAACCTACTTGTTATCACAACGTTCACATATCATGCACGCAATTGTTGGAGTAGTATTGTCTTCAGTTTCACCTCCATACACTCAACTCACTTTTCAGAGACCTAATTAAGAGTTACTGGCCTTGAAGAGACGCCGCAGGTCATATCGTGTTTTTTTCTTTCTTTCGTGAATATGAATATATTTTATTTTTCAACTATTTTTTACTTTTAGAGTGAATCAGTCACTCTGGCTGCTTACATACCCTGCGGAATCAATTTCCATTCGGGTTTCAAGATATTTTTTCAAATCATTTTCCGAAACAGCTTTTTTCGATGTGACGTCTTGTAAAGTTCCATTTCCGAGTGGAAACAGTGTTATGCTTGATCTTTAGATACCAAAGTATCAATACGACCTACTGTTGTTCGAAACCGTTTCGTCAGAATGGCGTGGGCACAACTTGAGAAGTTGAATGCCCACAAAATTCCTTAACTTAGCTCATAGCCTATTGAAGCTTGAAGAACTAGCTAGTGATGAACGTTTTGTAATAACCTTTCTTCTGTGGAAAAAATTAAAAACAAGTTTCATTACTTCCTCATTTGTATTTTATTTGCATATAATCCCACTTTTATAACTTCTTAAGTATGATTCGAAGACCTTCAACGGATTCACAAGATTATTTTAATTTTTTCATTCACCATTCAGATATTCATCGTTATGGTTCTCCAATATTGTTTTTTTGTGAATTCTTCTGATTCTTCAATCATTTTCTTTTCTATGAATGTAATTTACATTTTTCAGGCGTCAAATGTCTTCCATGACGTTATCGGTTCAAGTTCTTCTCGCAATTACAATTCTTTCTCCTAACCTCATACAGGCTCTTGGAATTTCCCGAGTATGTTCTTAAAATACATTTTTTGTTAACATTTTTATGGCGTTCTGTCAAGAATTTGAATAATGAATTCCTAGAATGACTTTGACATTTGAACAGTAAATTGCCCGAAGAAATCACTATTCTAATCAAGTTTTTCAGCACAGAGACAGTTTATTCGCTGCCAGAGCTATGGACTCTCCTATCATTGATAGTGTTCCCTGTACAATCCCAAAATTCGTTGAACGTCTACCAACAGGAATCAGAGAGAAGATTCAAGGCATTTGGAAAGATTATGATGGCGATTCTGACTGTTGGCTTGAGCTGGCGCGTACACGTAATGCCCTTCAGCTGCTGTCACCAGAACAACGAGAACAGATGGCCAAAGAGAAAGATGATTGTAAAGTACTGATATAATTTCATAACTTTTTAGTTAGTATATGTATTATAGCCTCCAGATGTAGTTGAAGCTTTGCCACCAAGAGCTCAAAAAAGAATTTTGGAAATATGGAAAGATCGCGATCCAACTGGTGATTGTTGGCAGCAACAACGTAAAACTAGGTTTCATATTTTTTGAAAAACAAAGAAACTATATCATTATACTAGACTGATACTTCTGAATTTGCCAGCATCCCTCAGATACTTACTACACCCTCCAGCCTTCGAATGTGCCGTCCCCCACTTTATTGATCGTCTTGAATGGGACTTACAGGTTTGTTCTTTATAAAAGCATCGTCTTGCTATCATTGTCTCATCAATAAGCAATCAGCTTCACAAAATACTAGATAAAAGCTCATTTTTGTAGATTCAACTCAGACGTATATGGGATGGTTATAAGATAGGAGATTCTTGCGCTGAGGTAAGCAAGACTATCTCGAATTGGGTAATAGAAATAATAATTGTAGAGAGTCGATCAACAGTTATCATTGTTAGCTGAACATGAAATATCATTAGAATCGTTCCAAATGCCACCTCCTTCCTTATTCAGACGTTATGAGCTCTTACGAAAACTGAAGCGTGCTAGTAGAGCTTGAAAAGTTCTCATCATTAATTCACGTTTTCTCATTTGAAGTGAACTCTTGCGGATCAATTCGAAAGAGGAGACGAATATTGTCTGACAAAATGTTCTTGATGTACATGAGTATTGTAGATAATTCTGTGTTTAGATATTTTGGATGTTCTATCAGCTTTACGGGATGAGTCGTTGCAACATTGTCTTTTTACTCTCTTTCTCGATTCATATTGGTTTTTTTGTTTGTTTCGCTTTATCAATAAAATCATATATGATAGACAAGAATTAAAGAATAATTGATTTAGTCGTTTTCCTTTAAAGATGTAAGCGGAAGTTCGAAATGATAGTGATGAAATGGCTTCTCCGATAAATAAATGAATGACTAGAAAAAGATGCTATCATAGAGAAATTGGTAAAAAAAAAAAAAGGAATTCAGTGGATGATCAAAAGACAAAGAAAGCTGAAGGTTACATTTCATAACAGAAAGAGATAGGGAGAGCGTTGAGAGGTAATGCTATGAAGGAATAAAAAAAAATTTACTTAGTAGCGTCAGAGAGCATAAGAGAAGTTTGCAAAACGAAATATTTAAAAATGAACGAGAAATAGAATAGATAGATAAGGAAGAAGTATTCAAAGAGAAACAAAGGGATACAAAGAGAGATAGACTGTTCGAAGCAATGAAAGTTCCAAATGTTAGATAGTTTGGCTCAAACTTCATAAGATGAGCACACTTTGAAACAGCTGACAGATATTTTCTGTTCCATTCAAAAAACCATTTTGTGTCTCACGTGAAGTTTAAACACATTTTGTAAACTGATAAAAATCATTTTATATTTCTAATAAAACTTACATCTTATAATTGAATAAACCTTTCTGAATATCTTTCCTGTCCAACGCAAAAGATGGATCTGATGCAATAAAAGTTACAAAGCCAGTCATGATCGTCATCATTTTCATCAGCATCTTTCGAAAAGAACTCAAGCTTATATAAATAACGCATTTTTTACAAACTCATTCGTCATTCTTAATCGTTTCATTTCTTCACATATTCTTTATCTTGGTCATTCTATTTGTCATTCTCGTCTTCATATTAGCATAAATTGACGTGAAGGGTATTCAAACGTCATTTTTATAAATGCTAACGTATGAAGCGGTTGTTCTATTCAATTGTTGCGTCATCATTGATGTAGAGTTTCCTTTTCACTTGTTTTCTCCACTAATTCAGTTGTTTTGATAATAAAATCTTCAAACTTTCAGAACTATATTATGATTACTCAGAGAGGAGTTCAAACGAAGATCAGTACAACAGCTATATGGACAGTCTTAAGTTTAGGTAATTGCTTTCTTGAAAGTTGTTTGCATTCTGCTGCGTTGCTCGTTAGTTTTACACTCCTGGTCATCAACCTTATGTTTGAGTTCTGTTCGATTTCTGCTTTAAAATATATTTTTTTTGTTTTTTGTTATCTTTTATATCTCTGTCCAACTGACCTTCCCTCATGTTTTTCTGTCAACCTCCCTGCCATACTCTCCTTCTCTTCTTCTCAAATTGGCCCAAAAGGAGTGCTCAATGAACCGTATATATAGCAATGCGGTTTTGTTATGAACATTCACTTCATTCGAACTTATCAATAATCAATTTGTATTTACATACATTTCGTTATGAAGGGTGCACTTTTCAGGGATGACCCACATCGTCAAGCTCATTGTATTCTTTCTTCTTCACGCGAGTTTACGGACACTTGCCTTAGCTTTTCCGAAATCTGAAGAGTTTGGGAGCGCTTTAACTGAAAATGAATCCTATAATATGACCACTATTAATGGCTTTCTTGAGAGCTTTTTTGCTCGTAAAGCTACATTATCAGCGGAAGAGTGGAAATCCCGCTTACCAAATATGAAGGAGAAGGATGAGATGACTAAGGTGAAACTTCAGTTATTTACAATTTCACTATTTCTTTTCTATTCAGCTTATCACTAGTATATGGAAATTTGAAACCTTCGATGGGGTTTCACCGAATCTGTTGGACAGTTATCCCAATTTGAAACCGATAATATCGATAACTCGTTATAATGTTTGTTTCTGCTGTTGTTTTGATTATATTTTCAATATCTTTTACAGAATACACTTATTGTTCATGAAAAACCGGGTTTAAGTAGGGATTTACGGAGATATTGGGGCTATATAGCCATTAACGACAAACGATCAGCCAAAAGGTTTTTTTATTTGTTTTTTAATACATTTTGCGTTGTTCTCTCTGAAGGAACCTTCATCATGCAGCTCCTCATTTCGAATCTGATGGAGATGTGTGCCGGGAAGCTGCTTATTTATTTGAAAGTACAACATCTAGAAGTCTCGTTGTAGCTGGGGCCTCTCGGTTTGCAGTTCGAGGGTAATTCAATAAATTTGAGATGACGAGAAAAAACTTTTTCCAAACTTTATCGAATTTTTTTGTCCGTTTCCAGGAATGTTTATTCAACATGTCTGAAGACTTATCACCCATCGGATTCAGCACATAATTCTGATAATATGTTCCATGTGAGTTCAAACAACGGACAAAATGATAGCCCTTGTTTATTCAATATGGTTTTTTATTGAATTTCTTCAGCATTGGAACATGATTTTGGCCGACCTGGCGAAAAACACTAACGCAATTTTTGTTCAATGGCATGGCATGGCAGAAACAAGGTATTCACAAAGTGGAGTAAGATCAAAATAAATTTTTCCTATTTCCAGTTGCCAAAACGATGTTTTCATATCGGCAGGGTCACGTGATAGTCAGGTGTACTCTCGAGATATTCCCGCTGTTAAGGTAAGATTGGCAATGGAATAGTTGTATTTGATCTTATTTCAAGATACGAGATGCTTTTAATCAACTTGAAAAACAAATGAAAAGCACTACGCCTGACATCGACAAATGTCGATTAACAGCTTCCACAAACGTATTTGGTCGCTATCTGAATGGAGTACCACCAGCTAACGTTTGTGAACGCTCAGCAAAAGCAGAGGTACAAGCGAAAAAGGACATCAATCTTAAAAAGGGGAATGCTTTTTCTTTCAGAACATTCAAGGCACATTTGTCCATATCGAGCAAAAACGACAAGCTCGAGATGCTCTGAAGTTATGGAATGACGTCATTCGACTCGCATATCCAACTGAAGTTTGAGTCTGCGTCTAACTCTCAGTGATTCTTCTTTCTTACAAACTGCATATATAAGTATATATTCAGAAGAGACTTCTCTTAGATCTCCTCAAGCTTTCCGTCATCAATAACTTCCAAAGTTTTATCTGTTTCTGTGATTTTTCAGTCATTCTTATATATCATGTTGAAAAACATATTTGCTTCTTGCTCACTAGTCATTAGTACTCTCATTCCCATTTTAATTCGTTCCTATCATCGACTGTTAGATGAAACAAAACAAGAAAGAATGACAGAACTCCATTTCTTGAATTCTTTGATACTTCTCATTTCGGAATATACCTTTTCAAACGGCTCCTCTGCCAAATATTTCTATCTGCTTTTAATTTTTGTATTTCTTTGAAAACAAACGAAACAAAGAAATGACGAAGTTTCATTACGATCTAGTTTAAGCAAAAGACTAACAAATGAGATAATGATGAGAAACTCTCCAGAAATTTCAAAACAAACAAATGAAAATTGAAATTCTACCTTACGGCATTTCCTGTCTTCACTTCTTTCAAATTTCACTTATTTGGATTGAAAATTACACTCAAAACCACAATCTGGTTGTTAAAAGATCATTTCAATTAATGTTTTAAACTTTAGATGACAGCTCGATTAAAATAGATTTCAATAGCTTTGGACATTAGCGAAAAAGAAATGTAATTTCACTTATTTTCCTAAGATGGAATCCTCTGATTACAAAGGTGAAGAAATGGAGCTAAAATTCAAACAGCATCTCGAAAAAGACACAACCGCTCTTCACTGATGAAAGTAGAAAAATGAAAAACACACTTTTTCACGTATTCTTAAGTTACACGTGAAGCATTCGGCTGCGAAAAGAGAAGAGAGTAAATGATTGAAGAAAGGAGAAGATTGGCGAGAACAAAGTTTGAAGTGAAGAGAAGGATGAATGATGGATTGAGATCATGTTCGTACAGATAGTGCCAGATTGACATAAAGGTGAGCAGAATACTGGACTGTCGATTTTTCTCTATAATTTGTCCTCAGTGTATTCTCTAGATCGTCACAATTCTGAATAGGAAGAATCAGAAGATGAGAGGAAACACGAAAGAGTGCTTTAGGACAAAACTTTCGCGACGCAATAGTGTGCTAATCGCGGGGCGCGCAGAGACGCAGCGTTACGCCACCAACACTACCACCATCAGCTAACCCCACCCCGATCACCGGTCCGAAATAAACGATTTTTCTGCCACTGCTAGTTGAATATTTCTTGCTTTTTTCCTTTTCTTGTGATTTGTTCATGCTTTCAGTTCATTATTCCAAATGCTTTCGATTTCAAACAATTGCGTCCTACTTGATCCTTGTAAATGTTGCACTTTCATCTTTATTTGATTCCGTTTTTTATTAAAGCCATTCAAAAATACTCAATATCTCTCTGGCGACAGTCAGTATGTTTTCTTTTCTTCCACACTTAACTGAATAAACATCAGCTAAGTTTGTCAAAGTTTAAAAAAGTCCTGCTGAAAATGTTTTCTAAAATACGTGATTTTTCGTAAAGTTTTCCAATCACGTACACTTTGTATTTCTACATCTGTTCAGTCGCCACTTTGGCACTTGTTTTAATTTGTTGGATAATTGAGTATCCAGGAATAGTCTGAATTCTAGAACTAGGTCGTTCCTTCCTTTTCCATTTCTTGGACTTCCAAATTTCAAATTTGATCATTTTGTGTATTCTGAAAGCAAACTTGGAGCCAGAAAGACACCCTATGTTTCTTTGTTGTCAGTCAAACTTGTTGCCAACAGTGTGTTGCGATGGTTGCTCTGTGTATTACTATAATACCACAGACCTTTCCGTGTTACTTAAATCTTTAATACTCTCACCGATGCCTACAATATTCAACAATTTTCTAAGATTAGTTGTTCATTATTTTTTTTCTTCCCGATAATTAAGAGAGTTATCAGCTTATTCTACTTGACAGTTAATTATATAAAAGACAAGAAGAAGGTTAAAAATGCAAAGTGTACTAAAACATTTTGAAACGTCTTGGGTATTTCCCTTCTCCCTAGTGGTTTTCTTCCTGTTTATATATATTTCCCAATATTCTCTTAGTTGTGTATCGCAGTTGAGTTCTGGACGGAGTATTCCATTCCTCTCGCAAAAGAAAACTTCAAAAATAAATCTAGTCAATCACGTTTTCATTTAAACTTAAGAAATCGTACAGAGCGGTTGTGTTCCTTATTCTCGCAATAGCTTTCAGTTGTTTCTCCTCTTTATAATTAGGAATCGTGAGTTTAAAGTTAAAATTCTGAACTAGAGGATGTACGCACTGATCTCTTTTTCACTAATACTCTCACATTCTTCATTATGAAACTTTTCAGTCATCTATTTCGAAATCTACGGCTGTTTATAGCCTTGCAAGCGATGTGCTAGTTATGAAATAGCGTTCCCTGCGTTTCAGAAGTCTACCCCATTGATTATTTGCTTGTTTCTCATTAATTTTTTTCTTTTTTCTTGGTAACTTCGTTTGAATACGCAAACAGTTGTTTCCTGTGCGAAACTATGAATCATCACTTCAATGTGTTCTTATCTCAAGCATTTGAAGATCAAATTAATACCACTCACTTGCCAAGTTATAGGCGCCATACAATATGTATTATATGACTGTTCATTTCATCCATACATGTTAACAGAAAATCTTCCTCACAAGCAACTGTCTTGACCCCCTCATTCCATAAACTTATTTGTACGACGCTTTGCTGAAATCGTTCTGTTAACCATACATATCGGAAACGTCCTTGAATAATCTTGAACGTATCTTACTGAAAGTACATTCAGCTTGTCTTATCTCGTCCTTAACAACTTTTTCTAATCTTCCGCTTCTTCTATCATGTGTAGATAAGGATGTTCACACTACGCATTCAAGATTCCTTTCGGAAGTATCGATTCTCCTTTTGATGGTTCAAATTAATAAAAGTTTAAAACAATATATTCTTTTCTCACTTTTTTAGATCTTAATAAGAAAAAAAAAGAGTTAACTTTTTTCTTGTATATACTCATCGTATTTCACAAACAAACGACACGTTCTCGTGTAAATAAATGCCATCCTCTATCTCTGATGCTATATGTCACTTTTTTGCGCATAAAGAAATATATAAATATATATATTGAGAAAGTATGAAATGAACATGTTTAAGCTCTTTCAAGCATCATTTTGATAAGAATCACGCATATTCTCCCTCTTCTCTCTTTCGCTCACTAACGTCATGTTAAAATGGAAAAGAAATAATAGTTATGAAGGTGGGCTGCCATTTCCCAAATATCGATTTATCGACTTTCAATTTCATTCAAACTTTCCTCATGCAAAATCATCTTTATGCATTCTTTTTTCGAGTTTTTCCTTCTGGTCCTTTCAATACTCTATAGTATACCTCTCGAACATTTCTCATTTCAGTCAGCATGGACGTGGACGAACATAATGGAAACGTCCGTCTACGAGAAGGCTTCCATATTATAAATATTGAAGTATTAATTTCATATTTTTTTTATAACTTATGAGTAATTGCAGTGTCGAACATTCAGAGGTAAAGACAAAGTCAGCTTCGAAGTTCCTACACGTTATTATGACCTTCAATATCTTAATGCTGGAGCTCAAGGAACTGTTGTGTTCGTTACAGAATATCTATCGAAGCATTGAGTTATTTCTTTACAGAAGTGCCATGGATCGTGTCACGGGTAAATCTGTTGCAATCAAAAAAATGTTAAATGCTTGTAGTCATCCGCTCACTGCTCGTAGAGCTTATAGAGAATTCGTGCTTCTGACAACGATGAAACATCCTAATGTACGTTCATATTGGGCTTCAGATAAAATCAAAGAGAATTCTAGATTATTCAACTTCTTAACGCTTTTACCTCAACTGAAACTGTAGACGGGTTCACTGATATCTATGTAGTCATGGAGTTGATGAGCCACAATCTGGCAGAGATCGCTACGAGGATGAGGTTGGAACATCGAACTCTCTCGTTTTTCGTATATCAAATGTTATGTGCCATTAAACATTTACATAATTCCGGCGTAATTCACAGGGTTTGGTCTTTTTTTGATCCCATAAGGCTCATAATGAACTTTGCAGGACTTGAAGCCTTCTAACATTGTTGTTGATGATAACTGCAAGTTAAAAGTGCTTGACTTCGGTTTAGCTCGGGTAGTCAACTCTGACCCGGCGATGAGGATGAGTGATTACGTTGTTACCAGATATTATAGAGCACCTGAAGTAGTCTTGTCGATCCCATATGATGAGAAAGGTAATTTAAAAATTGAATTTGTCATTTTATGATTGTTTATAGTGGATATTTGGTCCGTCGGCTGTATTCTTGCCGAGCTTGTGAATCATTCCGTTTTATTCGAAGGGAAAGATAGGTTGGTAGATATCTTTTGGTGATTAATTTGATTGCTCATTGTGTTCACATTTCAATATTGGGTTTATATGACTGATAAGATGCCTTTTGTTCAATCTTAGAGTCTTGCTTTCAGAATCGATCAATGGACCAGAATCATCAAAATCTTGGGGACCCCAAGTGAAGAGTTCATTAATACCCTCGGGGATGGTGTTGCGAAGTAATAACTGCTTCTACCTCGATGTATTCATCAAGTTTTTTAGATATGTGAGGCAGATGAACCATTACAATCCTATACCTGTGAAAGAATTCATCCCAGATAGCAACTTTTCTAAAGAGACTGAGTTGGAACAAGTTCATTTGACAGGTTGATATCATGTCAGAATGTTACTCAATTAGCTATTTTTCAGCAGATCAATGTCGAGACTTATTAGCTCATATGCTGGAAATCGACCCCCGAAGAAGATATTCTGTAGAAAACGCTTTACATCATCCATATGTGAAACTGTGGTGGGATGTAAGTGACACTGAGTTATTCGCAGATATCATCGCTCTATTACAGGAAGCAGAAGTGAATGGGCCTAGATCAGAAAACCGTTATAATAATGATGTAGAAGTAGAGGATAAACCTTTATCAGCATGGAAATGTAAGTGAAGAGAAGAGAGGAAATGTTCTCATTAATATGTATTTGCAGCTCTGATTTTCGAGGAAATTAAGTTATATGAAAGAGAGCATGATATTTTCAAAGACTAACTTTCTTTATAAAGTAATATGATTGACTAGTCATGTTCACAGTACTACAGTTTGTATATTATTATTATGTTATTGCATATCATGGATGCTCAAATAGTAAAAAAAATTTAAAAGAAGAATTTGAAATCTGTGGGTGACTGAACGTGTTCAAATACTTTTCTTTGAATTAACTATCCATATATAGCGTAATTGAATTGTATAAATGGATTATTTTGTATGAAGAAGCAACGTCGAATCGCGTTGTTTCAACTTGTTCTGCTGGACATCTTCTCTCTAATAACTGATTCTTCTGTGATTGTTGACGAGTGATATATAGATGAATTGCAATATAAACCTTTTTATGTTCTCCAGTCTACGGTTATAAAAAGGTAAATCATTTGATTATCCCTTGCACTCGATTTCATATAGTTATATAGTTACAAGTATCTGGTATATTGGTTATTATTAATATGGTATTATGAGGAAAATTCTTTGTTACGTTTGTAGAGAAATGGGTTCATTCATCAACAATACAATTCTAATTCTAATATTGGTATTAATTCGGATATGTGGAGAGGCGTTAGACACCTAACAAATTGGTTGAGCTACATTAAAATATATTTTGGTAGACTGGTAGAAGACACACCTCATCTACAACAACTAAATGAGGAATGTTTGAAATGTGTTGAATGCAACCGGTCACAGGGAGCGCGCGAGGAAGAATGAAGGGTATGTGATCTTTTGCACCAAATGTTTTCCACGTCGCATCATATATATGCAAATTCAATTAATTGTACGAAAGAATGGTACTAAAACGTTTATCAAGTCTTCTCAGAGCATAAACTGTTATGATTGCCTATTTATGAACAGTCATATAAACTTCTCACACGCATATGCAAATGAGAGCGTGAGATATAATAAAAGGAGATGAAACACTCATTTATGCATAAACCATATCTTTTATCTCATTTTTATTGAGAATTCATACGATTGTAAAAGATTTGTTCAAAAAAAAAGATTTTTTCATATATGTAATCATACTTCTTCTCTGACTGGCCACAGTTCAATGAAATCAAAGATTTACATGCGTAGACATAATCGTCATTTCAGTTGATAGCTCCTCTATTCATTCTTCAAACTATATATATCTTAGTATCGTTTTATCACATAGGAATGATGTAGAATCTGTCAAGAATTAGGAGTAGTTGAACGTATCCAATAATTAGCTTCTTTTTCGGAATTTCTTTTTTATCTGGTTTGCCTCAGATGAAAAGCTTGACTGCTTTATCTTGTTTTTGAACATTCTACAAATCTCATAAGCAACTGAACAGACGATAAAATCTTATTTTCGAAACAAAATATTGATTGGATCCAATATATATAGACTACAGATAGGATTTTCAATGAAGCTAGAGAGTAGCAAAACAGTTCGTTTCGAAATCTCGCTCCCTCTTCATTTTCCGATACGTTTAAATGAAGCAATATGTTTCCTAATATAACATCATTTTCATAATATAAATACACATTTTCAAATATCATCTCATTTGGTACGTTCCTAGGCGGAGCCACGTTGGCGAGCTCAAATTGCATTTACCTTCTTCCATATCTTCAAGGCAATGGGCGTGACCCATATGTATGTATGTGTGTGAGTGTGTGTATCTATCTATCTATATATATTTATATATATTCCAGTTAGTAAAAGGCTGCATAGTTGTGAGAGTAGCTCTTTCGGGATTAGTTTTGGTACGTAAGTGGTAGTGTATTCTCATAATTTTTTTTTATTTGAGATCATACCATAGTCTGCCTGTGTAGAGATTTTCTCCCATTTGACTATTTGCTTTGTTCTGGCTATTATCTTCACCTTGTCCATATACTCACAATATTCTCATTTTTCTCTTTCTAAACTGTCTTGTATCTCGTTTTATCATGAACTCTTTTCCTTTCTTCTCTGTCCTTCCATTTCTTAGAAGAGTTCTCTTTCTTCTTCTTTTATGCTGTTGTATGAGCCTATCATGACGTGGCATTACAGACCAGCAAACTGAATGAAACTGTTATGGGCTTATAACCATTTTCAGACTAGGGAATGCAAGATTCTTTATTCACTAAACACCTATTCATTGTAGTTCATGTAATTGGATGCAAAGGATGATTTATCCGACCAGTAGGTTCATTCAATTCCAATCTTCTGTGTGTGAAGAGGAAGTTACAAATGCTTTGTGTGCATTTGTGCTCTCTGGTCGCCCTTGGATACAGCCCCATAGCGACGAGCCAATGTGGATATTGACAACATTGACGAGTCTTCTTATTATGAAAAATCAAGTATGAAATTGTTTTCTCGAATCTTGCTTAAAAGATGGAGCATAATATTCTTGTTTGAAGGAATGGTATGACTGATTGATAAGGCTATTTGAACAACTGATCAGGCCATCCTGAGCCAACATGCAAGAGTAAACTGTATCTGTTCATATATCTATAGGTCAATTATATAAATCAAGCGAACGTATTTGTTTCATGACGAATGTTTCTAGGGATTATTTGTGCTTTCGATCAATTATTTTCACTAAGAGCTTACAAGATTCACGAATGATATGAATAGGTCACTCCTTATCAATCTTATCACCTATCTAACTAACTAACTCACCTGCATTACAACAATTACGTTTCTATTGTCATTATTTTCATTGAATGTCAAGATGCCCGGTTTGATGACAGCTTCGAACTTCCAGTCTGAAATCCGCTGATATTTGCTGATGACATTATTGAATATTCAATGAATTTGACAAGGATCATTTCGAACTCATGAATTCAAAGGAAAATGCGATGCAAAATGCTTTCTTCCTCAAATGACAATGATGGTCAAGCGCTCTGTTTGCTCTCGTTTCTCCCGTTTTCTTTATCATTTCATAGTTTAGAGACAATTTAGGCTTTTCACAAGCTATTGATCTGTTTTGATAGCATTTTACCACCTTTATCGTTATTCAGGCCTTATTTTCAGCATTTGGAATGCAAGCGGGTTGCCGGTTTAGGAGACTAAACGACGATTATCTTGGCAACGGCCTTCGATTTACTTTACATTCTCTTATTTAGGTTATTCTTTTGTATATATTTGTGTTCATAAAGAAGAACTTATGGCCTCATCATCTTCCGTTGACTGACACTCATTATTATGGTTTAAGAAGTAAATTATAACCTTTATAGGGCCGTCTGCCAACTTGTAGACTAATCGATGAAGTGGTTTGCCGTAACAGTTTAGGTTATTCGTTTTTCTAAAATTTATTTTTCAGTACTTAATCTGAACACTTATCTTCCTATGTTTGTACAACATAGTACTCCTGTATACTTTCTTCCTGACACTAACGTCTACGATTCTGTTATTCCTATTTTCTTTCTTTTTTTTTCGTTTCATACGAAAAACAATTCTTGCATGGAACTATTCTTCCTGTTCATCTTTCAGATTGATCTATGTTTTGGCTATACTCTGTCCTATTACATTTAGCCGCTTGACCACCTGTTCACTCCTGTCTAAATATGAGAAGCCACCTGTAATATTCATTCCATGTCTACTATGTGTCAACTCATCTTATTTCATTGCGTTCTCAAACCTTCGGAAAACTAATGGCTTTTATGAGAATCTTCATAATTTGGCCAAGACCTGGATTTATTGAGTGCTTTAGACTATACGGGATCTAGCACCATATAACCCAGGCCTTGAACAAATACGAACGTTGATTCACAATAAAACCAACTTTCCAACAATGCTATCATGGTTGATACAGAAAGATATCACAAGCGACACTTTGAAAACATCATCGAACAAGTAAGTTGAAAAGTAAAAGTTTATTAGGATTATGTTGAACATATAGCATTATTAATATTATTATTATTATTATTATTATTATTATTATTATTCGTTAAAAATTTCGAATGAAAAAGACTGATAGATCAATTCCAATAAAGATTTGAGCATGAAATATTTTGTGTTGGGAATTCTTACATAGTACTCACAACCGTTCTGAGTGGATAGCATTGAGTAGAAAAGCAAGCATTAAACACATTTTGACGTTTTTTGAAGTAAATTATGCAAATTACATGCGTGACGTCAAAATATCCTGAACTCGACCTGTTTCGGATCGGAATATGCAAATGAACCCTTAATATACTAAGACACATTACCTGAATGCGGAAAAGATATAATATTCAATTATAGGATCTTAAAAGAAATTTCTATTTTTGCACGAATCGATAAAGTTCAAAATCTGCTGGCACGTTGCACCGGGAGCAAACGATCTCACGAAACTACAATTTTTGTGAGCCCAGTCAGAGATATCGGATATTCCAAATTGGGTCGCCATTGCGAGTATTCTACCACAATTTTCTTTACGTATTCTCTGTAATAATAAAACATCAAACGCAAGACATTAGCAACATACATCCATAGTTTCAGGCGTTAAAACTGGCGTTGCTGGAGCATTTGGTAATGGCATCATCTGAGCAGGTGAGTTCTTCTTAGAGTTATTCGTTGGAGGTGGAGCGAGCGGCAAAGGATTTTTTTCGGATTTGGGAGTTGGATATGATGAGTGGAAATGAGATTTAGGTAGAGCAGACTTTCCACTTTTCTTTCGTTTTTTTAACTTCGGCTCCACTCGTACCGGTTTACGCTGAGAGAAACTAATTAACCCATAAGGATCTTCAGAAAATATGGGTACTCCTTGCCCATGATTCTGAAAATACATAGTTAAGTTGACATAGCTTCTTTTCTGGTTTAACCTTAGAAGAAGCCAGTGGATGCGGCTGCGAAATCGGCACTATGTTATTAGGAATAACTGATACAGGGGCTCTCTGGAATGTTTTGATTAACAAGGATGTTTTACAATAGTCACTACTTGTTCGTATTTCAGGTGTTTATCAACTCCAAGGTCCTTGATGTCTGAAATACTGCCGAATGAGAAAGAATTCTTCAAAAAATCTGACCTGAACTCTCCGTTTTTTGAGGCGATTTGCGTATCTCAGTCGGCATATATGGTCTATTTGCAACCTATATATTTTCTTCTTTTAAATGACCAAAAATAAAAAATACCGCCGGAGGAACTGGATGATGGGGCTTGTTCGGCTTATTTCTTGCGTAGTAATCATAAAACTCCTTGGGAAGTGTAGGTCTGAAAATACAAAAAAGTAAGGTTTTTTCTAGTTTTCTAATTTTAAAAAAGAAACCTTATTAAAGCGTTTTTAAGCTGGGGACGTATAGGACTCGGCTTGTTTCCATCATGGTTATACATTTGGTTGGATTCTGTTGATGGAACGGGCTGAGGGAGCACTGTTGTCGGGGTCGGTAGATCTGTCTTTACGACGGTTGGCTTTACGGTGGATAATGAAAAGAGTTTTTCAATTACAGAATCATTCTGCGATTCATCTTCCATGCTTATGTTGGTATTCATTATCTAAAATAATTATTATACGATTTGATTTGAGAGGTTATAGTGAACCTTCGGAGTAGCTGTCACATATGGTATATGAGACGTGCCAGGAGGATAAGACATATACTTCTTGCCTTTTATCTCTACTTTATTCAGTTTGCTTTTAGAATACTTAGACTTCTTCTTTTTCTTCCTTCTTGCCTTGTTCGTTGGTAACGGCATTGAGTATTGAGAAGTAGAAAATATGTCAGCATTCTACAAGTTAACGTAAGTACACTTATAGCAATATTATCCATACCATGGACTTTACACCATGAAGACGATTTGTTAGTTTACTATTTGAAAACGTTCCCGAAAGCCTTTGCATTGGTGGTAAATGAGTTACAGGTTCGTAGACAGTTGGAGGCTCTCGAGTTGTGAAATACTTCCTCTCTTCCACAGAATCTTCAATGACATTACCAAATTCATCAACAGTGACGTATTCTTCTATACAACGATATCTGGAAAAACTGAGTCAGTAGAAGGAAATTTAGGATTAAACTATTTTCGCTAAACCAACATCGAGATACTTAAAGGAGATTAGGATGAATAGGGAAGTGGGCTAACTACTCATAATATACAATCATTCTCTTGATCCTAATCATATAGTACATTTGCCCTCTTATACCAGAAATCTCATGAAAAAACTAAACTTTGAGATTTGAGTTCAAGAAAGAGAAGTATCAGAGTGAAAACTAGATTTATGAGATTCATCCCAACGGAACTAGATAATTACTTTCGTTGGAAATATGAATGTAACATGAAGAAAGAAGAAAATGTTCATATGGAGGAACTATAAGACAACCTCTTTATCCTTCCTCGGTACGGCTTCGTATGTGCAGTTTGCAATACACGATCATTGATGCTGTTGAGTTTCTGTTCGAAATGCTCAAGAATTCTGTTTTGCTGTGATGATTCACAGAATATTAATAATAATATTAAGTTTGATATCCACATGAACTGTAATAGAGAGAAGTACAAGGTCATTTGTTGTAAATAAACAATGAGAAAAAAGAAAAATAAACATTTTTAAAAAGTCTAAAAGAGGTTAGTAAAGATGAACTTTACTCTTGTTCTTTTCTTCTTACTGCGACTGAACTTATCATACGAAATTGGGTGAAGAGTTTAAATATTTCAAGTAATAATAAATATTATTTATAATAATGAATGGGAACTTGGGAAGACTACTGAAGTTCAGAAGGTCAAGAACTCCCCATGACGAACTAACGGAAGACTCTAATAAGCGTAAATGAAAAGGAAGACCTAAATAATAAAATGATTTCCGTACATTAAAAACAATTTGATTCCACATAAAGGAGATCAAGTCATGAGTTGATACTAAAAAGATAATTGAAAAGATCGTTTGGTAAGATAAGCTGAGGACATTCGAAAACCAAAAAACTTCATCATCTAAAAGAAGCATAGTTAACCTTAGATGTTATGTTGTAGTTTAGTCTGTTTTGGTTCTTGTTGAACTTGCTAGACAGCGGACATACTAAGAAGTGAGAGGACAGAATAAGTAAAACCGATTAATGGAACAAAATAGTTTGACTCTTGGATCATCGCCTGTAATTGGCCGGACCGACCACAAACTAACGTAAGTTGACTTCATATGTGAAGGAATTGACGAATTTCGAGAAATAAATCTTTCCAAGTAGATGGAAAGTTTCAAGAGAATTTGAAATGATCTTAATAACGAACATCTAATGAAAAAAAATGAAAAGATCAAAAGTTTACAAAGAAGGGGATAAATGTTCCTCTCCTTGAGAAGAAGAATTCAGGACAGCGAAGCTAGAGTTCTGACGTATTTTATTCATTTTTTGTCAGTTATGTACTATACTTGAGGATTTAACAAGGACTATGAACGGTCACTCAACGCAACCTCGTTATATGAGCCTGGGGAGGTTACAACTCTTAAAAAAAGAAATAAGAAAAGGTTTTTCTACAATTATTTCGCTATAGAATCTATTTGAGTTTATGACCATCATACCGTTTTGCTACTATTATAGTCTGTTTTTCCTCTTAAAAACGATCTCAAGAATGTAAACGGTTGTTCTCAAAAAACATATTAGTAAACTATCAAACGAATGAACATCTTCTTTTTTATTCTCTAGACTATATAGTTTACAAGGCATACTAAATAGAACACAACCGCACTGTCTGTCATAATGAAATCAAAATGAAAATTTGAAATAACACACGTGGCTTCACGCAAAAAGAAATAATTTTAAACTTGTGCACATAATTTGAAACTGACGGGACAATAAGAAAAATATTTTATGCAGGCCGTCCCAGTTTATTTTAATTGGCCTATAGCACAGTTATAAATTAGTTTCAAACTACATTTTAACTCCAACAGGAAATATTGCCTTACATATAGTAAAGGGCGGAGCCAGACCTCCCAATTCATAAGAAACTTGACTTGTGACAGTAATAATAAGGCTCCCCATCGTATTTCCAACCTTTCGCTGACTTTTGAATTAGATCTAATTATTTTTGACTCGAGAATGGCAAAGCTATTATTCAATTCTTTTTTCTCGAGTTCCCCCTCAATAATCTTTATGAAAACGTTTCTCACATCTTTTAATTAGCTTTGGTCGGTCATTTCATAAAAACTTTTCCTCTTATTTTGTTTTATCCAATACGTACGTCCTCACCTACTTTCTCTTTCATATCTTTTTCTGGAAATTTCAATGTCCCTGACACTATCAGTTATACGATTATAATTGAAATTTCCTCCGTTGCTATTACCAAATTAGACGAACATTCAATTTATTGTAGAATAAATTACAACTTTTTCGCTGCTTTACTTCTGGTTGGGCAGGGACAATAGTTAGCGTCTTCTCCAGGACTTCCAACTTGTCCTGCGTGACCATCAAATCCTGGTGAGCCTTCTGGGCCTGGTTCGCCTGCTGGACCGGGTTGTCCCTGACTTCCTGGTGTTCCCTAAAAGTATTTATGTTTGCTGTTCATGAAAAGAAGCTTACCTGGTTTCCATTGTTTCCGGTAGGACCCATATTTCCTGAAGGTCCTTGTGGTCCTGGCTCTCCTTGAGATCCTGGTGCTCCTTTACCGCCTTTAATGCCATCTTTTCCTGGTTCTCCTGGATATCCCATATTTCCTGGTCCGCCGGGTTCTCCTGGATGGCCCATATTTCCAGATTGTCCTGGATGTCCGATTGGTCCAGTATTTCCTGGACGGCCGTCTGGTCCTCCTTCTCCTGCTGGTCCTGGTGGTCCTGGAGGTCCTGGAACTCCTGGTGGACCGCCTGGACACATGCGGCATTGTTGCTGGTTATCCATATTGATAGATGGGAAGTTTCCTGGAAGACCAGGTGCACCAGGCTCTCCAGCTACTCCGGGAGTTCCATCCTGTCCTGGTACTCCAGCTTCACCAGCAGGGCCAGCAGGACAATCGTTTTGTTCATTACATTCTGATGTTAGAATCATTGGTCAGGATGAGATATTCAAGAACTTACGACAAACTCCTGGATCTCCGTTTTGGCGCTTTCTACGGACGAATGGAACAATGCTGTCACCAACTTTCTGCCCATGGACATTAGCCCAAATATCGTTTTGCAAATCACGGAATTCATCCATATCCTAGAAAAACAGATGATTAAACGAGACACAAAAAAAGCTGACTTTGTACAGATCATCAGTGATAAAGTTGATCTTAGACCATATTGTTGGTAAAAAGATCCCAACTAGGGCTAAAACTCCGATAGAGCATGTAATAGCCGTGTAAGCGGCTATGCGGGCTGACATCTGGAAAATAATACTGAGATATCGAGTTAATCAGAAGAAAAAGATAAAAAGAAATCATAGCGAAACATACGTTGTCTATAACCAGACTTAGGTTCAACCAATTGAAGTGGAACCAAGCTTATATAGATTTGCCAAGCCACACCCGCCCACTATAAATTAGCAACAACATGCCTAATCGTAAAAAATTATGACATAGAGCTTGTTGATGATCTAGAGATTTGTTCTCTATCACATATTACATTTTTCCTTACCAGTACGGCAATGAATACTAACTGCTATACAATTAATGCCAATTACATGGTAATATTTGTTCAGGAAAACTCTTTGTATGGTTTTCAATCCTCTCACAGTTTTCTATAAAGTCAACAAGAATAGTATTTTTACTTCTCTGGAATCATTGATACTTTGATTTAGTTTAATTGATTTGGTGTCAAGCTTGCGATCACCAGGCGATCAAGTTGCCTTCGGTTTCTACAGGCGATCACGATGGTGGAACGACAATAGATGTTATCAGATTGGATGAGTTGATATTCGTCCAAGATGTAGAGAACAATTTCAAAACACCATTTTATCACAGGGTTCGCAAATTTGTATGAAGCAGTTGAATCCTTCTTGACATTGATATATTAAGACATAGAATAGTCATTAATAATCTTTATTGAACCAAAACATGGTATGCATGTAGTTAGAGTCAAAACAACCCCATTGTTTACGTGGAGGCAAGATTATGAGCGAGGCGTTATGTTATTGAAAAATCAATAACTGCTCTATTTCCTTTCTTCAACGATGAAGACTCTTCATATCTCTTGAAGACTAATCCTTGTACTGTTCATCTTATAAAAACTATAAAAATATTTCATTTCTGCAATTGCGTACAATACACCATCTTCAGTTCAATAACTCCTCAGCCTCTTTGTTATTTTAGTTATAAACCATTGCTACAGTTGTTCATGGAAAAATTCCGAAAGGATAGGTTCGAGGATAATGACAGTGAGAGTGAGGAAGTGTTTTCTCCCAGGGTTCGCATCTTTTCTTTCCGTATGCTGATTGCTTTTATCTATTTCAGTCAAAAACGACAATGATGCCCGAATCGGATTCATATAATGAAGGAACTAAATCCAGTTCGGCTAGGTAATTCTAATTATATAATTCGTTTCATTTTGTATTTTAGAAAGAAAAAAAGAATGACCAGGCGTCATCGTACTACAGCAATGGAAATCGATCCACAAACTTCTACCAAAAAAGGTATTTTTGATTTATCCAACTTGTCTCACGAACGCCCAATCGGCGAATAAATTTGAATATCGATTGAATCACGCGCCTCTCATGCGTTTACAATCATTTATTTTTCTGTGAACATACTGAACGGTTGTGATTCCTATTCGTTGCTGTTAGTTTTTTCAAATCCTATAGTTATAGAGAAAAAAATGGAGTTGGATGAAGGAGAAGAATCGCATATATCTTCAAGTGATGCAGAAGAAGAATTCGGAGGTGTTGATGCTGATGATGAACAAAGTGATTGGGTCGGCTATTCTGGGGAGGGAGATTTTTTTGTAGGGAGCATTGGAACAACTTGTATAACCTTCAGCTTTCAGGATACCCCGGATAGGAAACACAGACGCACCAATTCAAAAAGTCAAATGTCGCAATTACAAAAACGTCTTGAGAAGTTCGCTTTAGAAGGTGGTAAAGGGGAAATGGGTTTAGAATTCAAAATGAGAGACCGTCCGAACTCTGCGCATGTAAGATTTCATGAATTGTTCCCTAAGACTTATTATTTCTTCCAGTTCAACCGTATGTTATTACAGTATCGCTTAGAAGTTGTCAAACGCCAACGAGGTAATGTAGTCTTGAGACGTAAACTTAATAGCTGCTCAGCAGTAAAAGAATAATCATTCCTAGGACTTGCTAAAATTTAGCTTTATTATTAATAATTTCACTTTGCAATTCTTACTGTATATACTCCTTAGGCTTCGAGACTCTGGAAGTCTATTTAATAACTCAAAAGTTTTTGAAGTTTTATTTTTTGGATAAACTTGACAATGAGATTTAAACAGAGGAAACATTAATATACCCGTTTTATTATTAGAGGAACTGTAGATCTATGAACGGTTTGGTTCACCTCTTGGTGCTGCGGTGGAAAGATCTAAGTTTTTGTATAGCTGAGCAGGTCTATGACCAAACTCGACACGAGCTTCGAACTCCTTGCTATGAGCCTTGAATCTTTGAGCATTTTGAGTGTTCAACCACTCTGAGATTCTCAAAGTTTCTAAAATTGAATATAAAAATTTTTAAAAGTGAATAAGACAAACCGTTCTGCTTCCAAGGAAGACGTTGTTTTTTAGCCAACGGTGGTGAAACGTCGCTATTCTGCTCACTCTGCCGCTTTACATCTACCACGTGAGCAGTACTAAAAATTATAATACTATTGTTGGAATTCAGATCAATCCTCACTCTTTCAGATCATTTAGGGAAACATCATCGCTGGTTACTTTTATTCCATCACTCTTAGCCAGATTCATGAAAAAGTCGAAAATCTGAAAAAAAAAACATTCTGATTAACTTTCAAAATTTTTTCTCGATTACTTCCAGGTGATTCACAGAGTTATTCACAGAGTTGGACATGAACAAACTCAAATCTGACAATAATTCCCGGTATTGCTCCGCTCTAGATTAAACCAATCATAGGGAAACGAATATTTACTTACGGAGAGAGATTCCTTTTTGTACTTGTTTTCCAGGACTGTTCTACCAACTCAACTTCTCTATCACGTAACTCTATTAATTGTGATAAATTCTAAAAGAAGCAAAATTGAAGGCAACTAACTTTCCTCCCACCTTTTTCAACTCCTGAATATCATCGAGTGTTAATGCTGCCTTCTGATAAGTTGAACAGATTGCCGGCAATTTCTTCAATATATTAACTACCGAGTTAATTGTTAAACTCTTTTTTTACCGTGGTCTTCTGAACGTTGAAGATAATGCTCCCCTCAACGTTAAGAGGCCAAAATCGGGTAGCTCTACGGAGATTCCGCATTGGTTGATAACAAGGAAGTTTACTAGCAGGCAACGCCTCATCTGATTTAGGTGGGCGCAGCATATGAGTTTTTATCATTTGACACATTTCATCCACACGCAAAGTACTGCTCTCTCCGATCACATCATAGTACCTCTGAAAAAAGGAAAATACTCATAAAAATTTCCAAAACTTACATCTACCATACAGTATGCAGAGTTAACGAATTGATCGCTAAACGTTGGAACATTAGCAAGAACGAGAAAAAAAAACAAACTCTTCAGAATCTGAGTTTCCAGTCATGTCAAAATCTTCTTCGAACTTCTCAACGGAGTCTGACGATGCGCGCCCTATCTGTTTATCATCTTGATCCATTGCTTCCACATCAGCCTCTGCATCAGAGGTCTCATCTTTCCATTCAGTTATGCTGTCAGGTATTGATAATATTTCATCGAGATCATTAGATGGCTCATCGATGGCCGCTGAAAGTATTATATTCGATATGTTAACTTACGAAGACAAACCAATTTTCTCTATATCGATCGAGTGGATATAAAGACGTCCTGCATGGGAGACTAAGGTATGGGAAATTAATTTTTGTCCAACATTGGGTTTGAAGTCTTGAGCCGGACCTTTTCTCTAGAAAAATATAGTTAGCTGATTGATATAGACGATTTAACTCTTACAACAACTTCTAACATGACTGTTCTTCCATTCAACAAGAACGAAGTCAAACATACAGATGGTCTACTATTCACAGAACATGGCGTTATAGCATAAGGGCATTTTGTACGAGGAAGCTGAAAAATGAACCTGAAGACTGAAAAAACACGAGACTCACCAAATTCCAAGCCTGTCGAGGGCTAGGAGTAGCCCATGCCAATTTGAAAGTAGGATAATACGAGCATCCTGGGTCTTTAAGAAAACCATTCTGACCTAAATGAGCATGTTAGAAAATACACTAGACCAAAAAAGCGAACCAACTAAGCCGAACTTCTCTAGCTGTTCATGTGCTGCTTTAGAATGAAGAAGTTCTACATCGTAGTTAACAGACTGTCCTTTTTGAGCTTCCTCCTTAATACGGACTGTGAATAGAACTAATAAGTTACTACTACCTTCATGGGGATCCCCGATACAGTTGTGGAGATGAGATCATAAATTTCAATACAAGCCCCGTGAGCAGCAGAAATCACAAGAGCATCTGCTTCACTATTAATGACAGTCAGTGAAACCAACGGATCAATCTATACACGAAAACTGTTTTCAATCATAGGCTCGAGTTACCTCTTTGAAAGAATGAGTAGATAGTTCAACTTTCTTGTTTTTAGGATATATGTTGACCACTGCCACAAAGACATGGTCAATTTTTTGATTCCTATATTGAATAAATCATCTTTTCAACAAAAAAAAACTTTGACAGTACTTTGAATTTTGGGAAGACTGCAAGCTTTCATTTTCTTCCGAAACCATGCCTGGCATCATCTCCACAAATTTGTCTAGATCCTTCTGGCTAAAGCGAACATAAAATATGATGTTATTCTTGACAAACTTACCTTTCAAAACATGTGAAGAGGACAATAGAACCAACGTTTTTCATCACAGATACAGCCGAGTCTTTGTGAATATTGGTCTCATCAATTTGTGTTATTATGAGTTTCTTGACTGATGGAAAAAATAAAGAAATACTGAATGATTTCTTACGTTCTTTTTCCATTGCTTGCTGTTGAAGTTTTTTTTGATGTTCGGTTAATTCGCTGATTCCTTGCAGAGCATTTTTGAAGCCACTGATCAGATAACTTTTGCTTGGGTCAGACTCTTTAGGATGGTCTATGTCATACAAATATTGGAAAAGCTAAACGAAAAGAACTGAGATATAATAAATCAAGGTTAGACAAACGTCTCTAGAAGAAAAGAGTTCTTCTCCCCAACGAGCAAGATATTTACACTTCTCTTTGGCTATCAAAATCCTGAGTAGATTCGAAGAATCATGAAACAAATCTCCAGTCTTAAATGACTGAATAATACAGTATACTTAAGCATCCTTACTATTCTATGGAACTCTATGGTGCATTCTATTAACCATGTCCATAGAGTTTTTTCGGTCGAAGCTATTTCTTTGGTTTCAGAAGATGATGACTCCTTCAGGGAAACAGTGATTTTTTCGCCTGAGCGTTGTGAAAGAAGAGATCCTTGATCCAATACAAGAAGAACTTTGTGTTCACGACCCACTTCATTCATCTGAAGAAACTTTGATACTTTACTTTCCCATACACATAATAATGAAGTAGAAAGTAGACGAGAACAATTTCGGAAACAACAATAGAATCAATAATATTTTATTTAAAAACGTAAAACACAGGGATCACATTTACAAAATACACAGGCATGATTGTTTGAGAAGAATTTACAGGGATTTCTGCAAAAGGTTCTCGGCATGTTTCTGCTGGTGAGTCCAATAGTTACATCGGACAGGATCTATTTCCAACAGCTCGTTGTACAGCTTAAGTATTAAAATTAACTGTGAATAATAATTAATCACACCTCTTTTATCCTTCCACAAGTTTCAACTGGAGTTACTTTGTTCTCGAGCTTCTCCAATAGAATGTCACAGAGGAATGAAATCTGAGAGAAAACTGTGATATGATGAGGTAATGACACTCACAAGATGAGGTGAACGAGACGATCTCTCTGTTCTCTCGTACAAATCTTCAACAAATGTTGTAACTCCTTCGTTGGAAGTCAAACCGTTCTCGAGGAGTAACCTGAAAACTCTTAATTAAGCTTCACTCATTCGCTTTTAGTACCCGGCAATGTAATTCCAAGCACTCTCGTTATTGGGGACACCTTCAATCAACTTTTTGGCAAGACTAGAAAAGAATATTTGATGATGATAAGATGAAACATCGTTTTACCTGAACTCCATATCTATATACTTAGCTTCTTTCAAGGCATCATACAAACGTAAAACAAAGTAACGGTAATTCCAAGCAGAATTATTTCGAGGATCAACAATCAACAACTCAAACGTATAAGAAAGCTCCTTGTCCAAAGTAGTGCGATCAGGCCATGTTTTCACTACCCATTGTCTGATAAATATTTCGTAAACATGGAAAAGGGAAGAAAATAACCTATGTTGCCAAGCATGATAGTTTTTCGATTCTTCATCAAGAATATTATAAGTGAACTGCAATTCAGAAGGAACGATTGACGATCCAACCCATTCAGCGATGATTCTTCTGTGGTGCCTCAAGTAACAATGACGGATCAAAGTAGTTTCCAAACATGCTTACCAAACTTGATAGTTCTTAGGATTCTCAGAGATGATATCATTCAAGTATTTCATTTCAGCAGCCAAATCCAACTTCAACTCTTTTATTATCTCTCTTCTGTACTGCCTGAAACAAGCCTAAAGATGATGATATATTCACATAGTCAGACCAGAGAGTATAATTAGCGGGGTTGAGTTGAATACAATCTTCGGTCAAACGGAAAGCTCTGGCACTTTTTTCATTTTTCTGTAGAATAGCACGGAAATATGCAAAAGCATCTCTGACTAAAACAAGAAAATGATAGATTCTATTTGTATTGCTTACATTGCTCTGAAACAGCTATCTTAACAACGACGAGCTCTTCTGCTGCTGGATATATAGGGGTAATGTCTTTCCATTCCTCCTGATCCTTATACAGAGTTGAGGAAGCAACAACTTCTTCTTCGTCAGACATCACGTGGGAATGAAAAAATGATTACTAACTTTGAAATTGAAAATAATTTCAAACGCAATGTCAACCCACTATCTCGTATGAACGGACCTTGATAGACGTGAACTCGAAAATGTTTGAATATTCTATGTCGACCGTAAATTTTATTGCGTGGCATGACTATGATTCCTTTCTTCAGAAGCTTCTAACATTACTAATCTATCGTGCATTCTTTCTAGAAAAGATGAATAATATGCTCCAGAAGTGTTCTATAGTATATCCGAGATTTGGTGCAAATCCTTCTATCCATTAGCTCTCATTTCTCCACTGAACCTTATCAACGTTCTTTCACTAATTATGCTCTATTTTTTTCTGAACTGAAAAGCCAATTGTTCAGGTACAATGGATATTGCGTCTCAAGTTGAGGTTGAAAACGAACTACGTACATACGGTTTGGAGAGATTAAGTGAGTTTCAATGCTCATTGAAAAGATAGTCGGCATAATATTAAAGGAAACGAGAAGACAGAGATTAACAAGCAGTTGAAGCAACTACAAGACAAAATAGGAGATTTAGCTTTTGACAATTATCGAACATACGTAGACGCTGGGAAGACTGCCGAAGATTGTACTGATATAGTTAGTTTGTTGTCTGCTTTTGAATTATAACGTTGTATAGTTCACCGAAATTAGCGAAAAACTGCGAGAAGTCTCTACTGATGTTCCTCTTCTGCAAAATGAAATCAAAGAGTTTTATACCAGATCAAAGAGCAACGACGATGAGCTTAGATTGATAAAATCTGCCTCAGATAGAAATAGTCCGCTCTGGGAGATATTATCATTGCCTTCGGTGAGCAGCTTAGAAGTTTCGTTACCATTATCAAAGCATTTTATAGAGAATGGACTTGTGTATACGTTCAGGTTATTATGACGCTGCTTACTCCCTTACTAATTATGGAATGCTTATGCACCAGCACTCAATGGTTTCAAATCCATTACTCAAAGTATTTCCCTACCAGCTTAATAGTTCAACAAATCTTTTTTAAGAGAGTAGCTGATCGATTAGTAGATGCCCGATCACTTCTGCTCGAAGAACTGTTTAACAAGTTTTCAGGTCCGTTAGACTTGGCAACATCTCTCCAGGTAATATACCTTCTGTTTAATGTAATCATGTATCATATCTGAGCTGAACCGTTCTTCTTGTGTTCTGATATTGAGACCGTTTTGCTTTTACTGTTGTACGACTCCACTTAGCTAGTTTTCAGGTAGTCAACAACGTTAGGAAGATGCCTTACCTAACCCCTACTCAACTGAGAGTCTCTATCTTACATCACAAGGATCTTTACTTGGAAAAGCAGCTTATTGATATTGCTGTAGGCTTTACTTATGAGTATGAATATATTTCTTGTTAAGACTCATCCTGACTATGCACTTATGGCTATAGATGTGTACAGAACATGCATGCACGATACTTTGGTTCTTTACCTTTCCGTTTTCCCGGAAAATGAGGCTGTTAGAAAAGATGTGAGTCAAAGTTACGATCTAAGTATATTTTTTGTCATCTTTTCAGCCTTCCATTGATCCTAGGTGGGAAGCTTGGCCTACTAGTGCTCCTTCAGCTATTCTCGGTCAATGGGCTAATAGAAATATTCAGAGGCTTTTGGATTTAGTACATAGAGCCGATATGAAGTGAGATTATGGTAGAACGCTGGAAAGAACTTGCTTTTTTTTCAGGAGTGGAGTTGATATGGCATCTATTTGGACGAAAATGATGTCTGTTGCTTCAACATTCGGGCGATTAGGTTTAGACTTCCGTCCACTTATCATACAATCGCTATCTGGTCTTGTACTAGATAGATTCCGTGCCTTAGTTAAGAAGGCTACAGCTAGGTATTTTTGTAACCGTACTCTTTCTAATGTTTGGTCTTTCCTAGATTAACAAACGAAGTCACTTCTCTAGTTGTAATTTCTGGCGATATCGGTCCCCTGCCTCCACAAGAAACTCAAGGTATTCGTGTATTTTTTAAATATAAGCTGTGTCTTCATAACAGATGCTGTACCTATACCTGCTCCTGAAATTTCTCTGTGGGATGATTTGTGTGTGTATGGAAATGATCTTTTGAATGCTTTGAATGGAATGCGTTATTCGCACTCTCCACTCCTGGTATTATCATATGACTGACATTCATACATAGCTGTATTACAACTTAGGTTTCTTCCGTGGTTACTATTTTGAAGGATTCGTTGAAACTTGTTTTGTCATGGCTCGCAGATTTGCAAGAAAGTCCAAATTTCCCGAAAGCGAAGAAAATATTTTGCCTATCCTTTCTTCCATTCCTATCACAAACTATACAGTACATGTTTCCGTATTCTGTAGTATCGAGAATGTTTGGATCCACTCTGAGTTTAAAGCAATATGTAATCGAGTTTTGCCCCAACGAAGAATTCATCTGTTGTTTCAGAATTTGTTCACAGAGTTCTCAGTTAAAGAGCTGGCTGCTGAAATAGTCGTTTTCGATGATTGTGACATTATAGAAAACAGACAGGTTACTGTGGAACTAGTAAGTTCTCATTATAATTAAGTATATCTTGCTGAATTAGGTTGACATTAAAGTGAACGAACAAGTAACAATGGAGAGAACTGAAGCACCTACGATAAGAGTAAATGAAGAACAAAACGTTACTGCAGCGGAACTTCACGAGAATGGAACAGCTGAAGAACATGGAGTCAAGCATGAAAATGAAAAGAACTTAATTATGGAGGACTCAGAACGAGAGTTTCCGGAAAATGAAAAAATTAACGAAATTGTTCCGGACGCATCAGCGGAGTTCTCTAACGATTGGGATTAGGTACGGTCTCTTAACTAATTTATTGTAAGAATGTATAATATATCCAATTTCGAGGATAACGGTCAAATGCAATAATTTGTAAATATTTTTGGTGTCTGTGATGTAAGAATAGTTTACTATCAATAATAAAGTATTTTGTAAAACTTTATTGTGACAAGATGAAATTCTCTGACTAACTGACGCACAGATTCTCGCTTTATTAGGTAACCGGTTTGTCTTCACATTCATATTGAGTGCGGTCTCCTCCCTCAAAATGTCCTTCCTCTTTCTGGTCTTATTTACTTTTTTTTCATAAAACGTGGACCTTACGTGGAAACTATTTCATTTTTTCTTCGCAAACCTAACGCAGAGCGGTCGTTGGCTTACTTCGTTGTGTAGAACTTCTCTCATTTTGAAAATATCTTTCTCCCTTTCTCTCATGATGGCGGATAGTCTCTCTCGAATTAATCGTACGTTTTGGTTGACCCACGTGCCTATGACAGGGAGGATGGGCAGAACATTGAAGGTTATCATTCATCATTCTCACACAAGTAGTACACATGTAAATGATTGTGTTTCACATACATTCATGAAATTGTATGTGCCTGTGTCATTGCTTTGTACTTCTTCCTAATATCTTGCTTATTCATCAAACAAAAATTGCCTTTCAGCTGTATGACAAGATATCAAAGAGGTGTAAGAGAGAAGAGAGAAGTTTTTCAGCGAAAGCATTCAAAGGATTTCGGGTGTTTTTTGGGTAAAATTACCGCGTCCTCCATGTATATCATCAATCATTTGTAAAGATAAAATGGTTTGGAATTGGTGTTACTAAAATACGTTTCTTTTGAATCAGGAATTTGCCGCTTCCAATGACAATGATCTTTGTAGTTAAATAGTCGACTAATATTTACATAGACAACCAACCTCTACTCGTTGACACTCCTCATCCACATCCTCAAAGTTGTTGCTCACTCCTGTTTGTTATGACGCTATACCTTTGTCCAGTCGTTTTTTTGGAAGTTTAAACGAACTCAACTATGCATTTGTTTTTCTATATTTTTATCTGTTAGGTTTTTTTCTTTAAAATCACAATGTTTCAGTCTTATAATTCAATTTCATCTAAGCAACTTTGAAACTATAAGAAACAGAATTCAATTTATGCTCAACGTCCTCCAAACCTCTTTTCTTCGCCGTTACATGTTCATCACAGTCGTAACAGTTTCTTACTAATTGGATTCGATCATATTCATCAAATATCTTCCTCGTCATGAATGTTTCTTCTCCCTCTTCTGCATAATGATTGCATCACATGCAAAAGCAATCTTTATAAAATCTCTTTGACTCACAAAGTTCTCTCCAGAGAATTTGTTCTTTTCCCTCAACGGATTCATTTGTACAACCTCCTTTATACGCTTTTTCAACTACAAATAGCAATTATAGATAGAAAAATATTTTATTTTTTCGCTTTCCCGAGTGCTATACTATACCTCTCACGCAGTTACCACATTTGGTATCTTTCAGTCAGTCGTGACTGCCATCAGAATAAGCAATTCATCGATAAAACGCTTCCAGTTGTCATGCATCTTCTATGCTTCGCCAGAAAATATTCAAATTCATTATATTCTCTTCATTAGGCGTTTGGTCTTCGGACTGAGAAGAAGCCAAAAGAATTCCCGCATGATTATAAACCTTATTAAAATTGACATTTTAACTATTTCTATTGATTTGCAATAGTCCTGAACATAAATAAGGCTGTTGCTCTGGGCAACGAACATGATCCCTATCAAAATGTTCCTCAGAAAAAGATTTCCTGTAATTTTCGTTTTCAAGTCTCAAAATAACAAATTTATTCTTCTGCAATACGTAATGCATTCGTTTTTCTATCTAAAAATGCTTCATTAATACCTCGATTTGTATAAAAGAGTTGAATTTCTGTATTACTCTTCTAGAAATGGCTTTTCACTCTGTTGCCGAATCTCAATTGACGTAATGTGATAGAAAGACATTTCATTGTGAACTTCCTTCTCTTCTGACGCATTTGAAATGAAACTTATTGTTGTTCTAATCCCTCTTGAGATACATGTTTGCAATTGAAAAGCTTCAACTTATCAGATCTTTCAGAATGACAATATCATACTCGGGCAATTTCTTCAGATTACTATTGAGATGGAAAGGATCTATTTGGAGATCTGTATGGAAAGAATTAATTGTGTATATCATGATATATTTTGCAATTAGAGTATTTTATATTCATGGCATCGATTTACTCGATGACGACGAAAACGATAGAAGATTCTACAGGTACAGCAAAACAAAATACTTCGTTAGAACTTGTACTTTCCAGATCTAAGTTTGAAGCATTATGTCGGAAGTTTGATAGTTACACCAAGCTCATACCTCTGACATTTCTCTTAGGATTCTATGTCTCAAATGTTGTGTCGAGGTACTGAAGTTGGAAACTGATTATTGAAAGTTTTTTTTTAATTTATAGATGGTGGAGGCAATTTGAAACTATTTATTGGCCAGAAGATATTGTCTCCGTTATGTGTACAGTTATTCACGCCAATGACGAGGAAAGCCAAAAGAGACGGCACACAATAACCAGATACATAAACCTGTCAGCTGCTCTTGCCTGGTTGAACACTTTCTAGAATTATAGTAACTTTCCTCTTTAGGCGGGATATTTCTTCAAAAATTCGTTTACGTTTCCCTACTGTTCACTCGCTAGTGGATTCTGGGTTACTAACTGAGAAAGAGTATGATTTACTCGAAACAAAAACAGTGAGATTGTTTTACTCATACTTTCTAACAAGTTGTTGAAGGAGGATTGTCAGTCAGTCAGGTGGCTAACACCTCTTCATTGGGTTCAACAGCTCCTTAGGAAGGAAGAAGAGGTAAGAGATAATTGCAATTTCGCTTATGAAAAGAAAAGTATTGTTATCGAGTTAAATGGCACACCTCCCTCTCCCATTAACACTCATACGTGTACGTTAAACGACCGCACTGCAAACTTGGCTACTAAAAATGAAATTCATGTTTCGCACGATCGTTAGAGCTTGTAATGAATGTTCAAAATGAATTACCTTCCACCACCACTAACTGATGATTTGAAAACAAAATGATGTTATGGCATGTTGCTGTGCCGATTTTTTCTCTCAAAGAATGATTCTTCTATTTTGTTTTGGCATGAGTTTTGATAATTCATTGTTTGATAATCTAAATCAAACAATTTAATGATGTCCTAATGCTATATTAATCAATTAATCATTACTGTGATTTCTTGTAAACAATAAAAACAGAAAATTGTTTACCAAACATCGTTTTCGTGTTTAATCAAATTAAATTGAAGAACTTACCTAATTAATGCACAGACAACTAACACAACTACTAATGATGAACGCAATATCCTGATACCCTTCCCGTTAACTTCTCATAATAGATCAAAAGGGACCACGGTTTATTTCTTACGCATGTAAATTTATGAACAAAATTTTTCATTCCTTGCAGGAAAAAAAACCTACAGCTTCTCTTCTGAACAACTTTGTAACTGAACTTAAGTTATACAGACAATCACTAAGAAAACTTTACTCTTATGATTGGGTGTGCGTTCCTCTCGTGTACACTCAGGTAAAGATAGAAGCTCATGAAAGTTCTAATTAAACTTCATTAGGTTGCTGCCTTAGCCACTTATGCGTTCTTTTTCTTTGCCGTGTTTGGACGCCAAGCGTTATTACCCGACATAAACTCTGGGAAGGAGATAGATACTGTTCTTCCTATCTTTTTGATTGTTCAATTCATGTTTTTCGTCGGTTGGTTCAAAGTAATTTAAGTAAGATATCTTAAACTATCAATTTTTCTTCTTACAGATCGGGCAAGATCTAATGCGGCCATTTGGCTTAGATGACGATGATATAGAACTAAATTATCTTCTTGATCGTAACATATCCACATCGTTTGCTATCATTAATCAGATTCACACATCGGAGCCACGTAAAGTTCATATTTCAATCAAAACTGATTTTCTTATATTTTAGCTGAGTTTGAAGAAGATTTATTCTGGAAAACAAGAAATGGAAAAATTGATCCGCTACCTCATACTCCACGGAGTCGTCGTTTAGCAGAACATCGACCAAAGCTTCACTCATACGTAAGGGTTGGTGATGGAGAAGACGTGGATTCAAAGTCGTGTCTTGCTCGTTCTCGTGATAAAAGGTTCCTCAAAAAACAATACCGTGGTACACTGTGTTTTCAGATACATCGACTGGTGAAGTCCGATATCAGAATGATTGGACGCAGTGTTAAGAATAACAAATAAGTTTCATTCAATTCCATAATGGTAATGGCTTCTTCGTAACATATATAAATCTTCTTTTCGTTCGTTGTTATAACTTCTTCCAAATCATCTCCTTGCTCAGCGTAGTCATCCTCAACCAATGAATGCTTATCATTCCCGATAGAGAATGGGGTGTCAGACTGAATGACTAGAACAGATTGGACTACAGCCACACTCAGATCCCGGAGCAGAGAATTCGTTTATAGTTCTGAAAAAAAACCAATCCAACTGATTTCTCTACTCCACCACTGCTTTTCGGATTTTATTCTGTGACAGGGCAGAATTAGGCATTAGCTTCTCGTGATCCGTGTAAGCCTTCGTGCCACAATATCTTTAGCTCACCTTAATCATCGTCTCATTCAGTTTCTATTACTCTCAACTGGAGTTCTATTAGATGAAAATCTGTTCAACAACAACAATGAATGAAGCTTCGTTATGGAAAACATTTATTTGAAACATTTTTTTCTTTAAAATAACTGATAATTCGTATTTGTGGTAAAGTCAAAAATTAAAATCGATTCGAAGTATCATCGCGTGAATTGCCCAGACCATTTGGAGTTTTACTGTGACTTGTTGTGAAAGTTTTCGCGTCAATTTTGATATTTCGAACACCTGAAAGTATTTGGGATCATCAAAAGATTGTAGAGAGGAGCGTTTGATACGATAGTCATTCTATCAATGAACTACAATAGTAT